TAGACTAGGTTGTTTCTCTGTGTTGTATGTGGGTGTATGTAATTTTTTTTTGGTCATACTTATGTTGAGACTCTAGAAAGAGTACAGAGAAGAGCAACAAAGATGATCAGGGGACTGGAGGCTAAAACATACAAGGAACGGTTGCTGGAATTGGGTATGTCTAGTTTAATGGAGAGAAGGACGAGGGGGGACATGATAGCAGTATTCCAATATCTCAGGGGCTGCCATAAAGAAGAGGGAATCAAGCTATTTTCCAAAGCACCTGAAGGCAGGACAAGAAGCAACGGGTGGAAACTAATCAAGGAGAAAGGCAACCTAGAACTAAGGAGAAACTTCCTGACAGTGAGAATAATTAACCAGTGGAACAACCTGCCTCCAGAAGCGGTGAATGCTCCAACACTGGAAGTTTTTAAGAAGAAACTGGACAGCCATTTGTCCAAAATGGTATAGGGTTTCCTGCCTGAACAGAGGGTTGGACTTGATGACCTCCAAAGTCCCTTCCAACATCATCATCATCATCATCATCATCATCATCATTATTATTATTATTATTATTATTATTATTATTATTATTATTATTATTATGGATCATCACACAGTCAGCCAGATGTTCAGACTGGATTTGGCATTTTGTTGTTGTTGTTATTATTATTATTATTTAGTGTATATTGGAGGTGCTGACCCCTTGAGCTGTAAGCCACGAAATTTCATTTTAATGTGTGTCAATTAGTGTACTTTTAAAGCGACAATAAAGTTATCCTCAGTTCTATGGAGATGCTCAATCATTCGGGGTCATGGTTGTCCCAAAGCTTTTCAAAAAGCAACTGGAGTTCGTTTGTTTTATTTTTTTTCTTTGAAAACATTTTCTTCTCAGCCAAGAAGCTTCTTCAATTCTTCAGAACTGAAACTCTGAACTGAAGAAGCTTCTTGGATGAAAAGCAAAACGTTCTCAAAGAAAAAAAAAAAAGCCCAGTTGCCTTTTGGAAAGCACCTTTGGGACAATCCTACCCAACCATTTTCAACCCAGAACTTATCTCTGCTGGTAGTTATTTCCCTGGCCGATATTATGCTTTATTTTTTTTTTTGTTCTGCTTGTTTGTTTTGTTTTTCCTAAACCATTGAAAGGTCACGGATTTGGTTCTCTGCCACCCTTTCTCTTGAACAAACCCAAAGGGCGAGTCATGCCAACGGGAAGAGGAAACCAAGTCTTCCGAAGACTTTGTGTCAAAACGCTTTTGTTCATTTGCACTTCCTCTTCCCTCTTGGTCTCGTGACGTCCCTTCAGCTTCAAGGGTTCTGAAGATCTCTGCTTGTGCAATCCTTGATGTGCACATCACCCTCCAAGCTGTAGTTGTGCCAATTGTCGGTGTGTGACTGCATCTTACACAGAAGCTAAAAAGTCAGCGTGCCACGGCAGACGTAGTATGGCAAATGGGCACGTCCTTCTCCCAAAATGATTGTTTTATGAGAAAAACCAAGAAAAGACTTTTTTTTGAAAAATGGGCCATGAGATGATCTTTCTTCAGGAGAATTTTCAAACTCATGACTTTCTGCTGTGGGCTTCCAGCTTTCCTTTTTAGTGTCAAGCAAAGTGTAGAGTAGACCCAGTTGCAAGGCCACCAACCCAACATTGATGGAAGGGCACATCAATGAATTCTGCAGCTATCAACCACCTTATCTCAAATGTCAGAGAAAACATCTTTCCAAAACACATGTTCTAATGCAGAGGTCCCCAACCCTTTGGACAACAGGGACCCGTTCCATGGAGAAAGTTTTTTCCATGGACTGGTTTTGTGTGCTGCTTGCATCCCATGGATGGAAATTTGCTTATTTGTGCGGACCGGTTGCTGGTATGCCGTGGCCTGGTACCAATCCCCGAACCAGGGGTTGGGGACCCCTGTTCTAATGAACAAAGAACCATTCTGGTCAAAAGATTGCTTCAAATATTCAGAGACGATATTGAGTCTGAACCATCTTACAGGTAGTCCTGACGTACAACAGGACTTAGTAACTGTTCAAAATTACAACGGCATTGAAAAAAGTGAATTAGGATGGTTTTTCACACTTAGGACCATTACAGCAGCCTCACAATCAGGTGATCAAAATTCAACCGCTTAGCAATTGACTCCTATTTATGACGGTCGCAGTGTCCCAGGCTCCTGTGATCCCCTTTTTGTGTCCATCTGACACACCAAGTCAAAGGGGAAGCAGATTCACTTAACAACCGTGTTACTAATTTAAAACAACTGTGACAAGAAAGGTGATAAAATGCCAAAACTCCCTTAACAAATGTTTCACTTAGCAACAGAAATTTGGAGCTCAATTATCGTCGTAAATCGAGGACTGCCTGTATGACGAATGTCAGAGAAAAGAGCTTTCCAAAACACATGTTCTAATGGATGAAGAACCATTCTGGTCAAAATGTCTGCCAAATATTCAGAGAAGATGCTGAATCTGGAAGAACCTTTTGATGAAAGAATGCTTCATATCCCATCGTGGTCACTTCATTTCAAGTAAATGGAAGACCACCATTATGCCACAGATAGGCTGACACGCTTCTCGAATGGGCATCTTTAATGGAATCTAGTGGGAAGCTGGGTTTTTTCCGATTGAAAAACGTCCGTAACAAGAAGAAGTAGAAGTCCACCTATAAGGAAATGGCCGAGGGTCTTCAGGTCAGCTTGCTTCAGATGATGTTGGCTTGGATTTCCCAAACACAGCTTGTAGATGGCTAAGCGATGTGGATATTGGAAAGTTTCATGTCAAACAATATGGGAAATCTGGGTCAATTCCAGGGATGGGATTCAGTCAATTTGCACCACTTCGGCAGAACCGGTAGCTAATTGTTTGTTGCCCAGGTCCAGAATGGACTTCTGGAAGCGGCATCCACACAGAGAACCAGTTGTTCCCATATTTGAATCCCACCACTGGTCAGTTCCACTGCTCGTAAGGGGTACCATTATATGCCAAATTGTCTTGCCTACGTCACCCCCTATTTTTCAGTGGAGTGAGTCAGCAATTTGAGGAGTGGACAAGAGGCCCACTCTGAATAGTTCTGAGTTTGCTGAGCTGGGAAATGAAAGAGGGAGGGTCTTGCAATCTGCCTGATTTCCTGACAGTTAGAACAACTAAACGACTTGCCTCCAGAAATTGTGGGTGCTCTTATCACTGGAGGTTTTTAAAAAGAGATTGGACATTTATCTGAATTAGTATACTTGAGCAGGGGGTTGGACTAGAAGACCCCCAAAGTCCCTTCCAGCCCTGTTATTCTGTTATTCTGTTAACCCATTCTCCACCTCTGACTCCATCTCTATCTCCATGGCTTTGAGTGAAGACTTTTCTCTGCTAAATCCAAGCCAGGAAGATCTTTAGCAGACATGAATCTTTAATGCAAAGGCTGCTCAGAGCCACTGACGAAAAGTCACATGGTAGCATAGAATATGCGTCAGGGTGCTTTACTATGAAACAGGAAATGTGGGAAGAGGAGGAGACAAACCGGGAGGATGGAAACCTTGGTGGAAACAAGGATGGGTAGTGGGTCTCCCACTCCTTCTTGGCATTGTAGGAGGGGAGTTATATTTATTTTATATTCCATACTCTTTAACTGCCCATCTCCGTTGGGGAGGGGCTCCAGGTGGTATACAATTTAATCAATAAAATTAAACATCAACATTTTTTGGATTAAAAATGAGGGGTCCTTGGTGTTTTTTGAGTTTAATTGTTGATTGATCGTTTTTTGGGTTGTTTTTTTGCAGGGGTTTCCTTACCCAACTAGGTAACACCTTCAGTTTTTCTTAGAACTTCAAAGAGTTCTTCTAAACCACTGAACTGATCATGCTATCTGGTTGGGTCATGAAACGTCTGCAAGAAAACAACCAAGCTCAAAGAGCACCAAGGACCCCCACCGTTCAGCCCTGAGCTACAAAGATTCCCTTCTGTCTGAAGGAAATCTATTGAACCCACACTGCACGCTCATGCTCTCCCAAACAAAAAAAGGTAAAAGACACAAGGTCTTCCATTGTTTATTTAAGGACCAAATGGTATGATTTTTCATTCTTTGAAAATAGGGGGGGGGGAATCCCATCTCCATGGAGACTCTGATGTCTCATCTCTCTCTGGTGATCCTCCCTCCCTTAGCAAAGAGGAATTATTTCAAGGAAAGACGGACAGACGGTTCAAAGGAAAACCCTCTACTTTTCCGGGATAAAAGCATCCACTTGGATTCAGGTGGACAATCCAATATTTTTTTGCAAGGAAGAAGGGCAGTACAGAAGAACGTCTGTAGTAGCAAACTTTTCCTTAGCTTTTCCCCCCTTTTTTTAAAAAAAATAAAACTTAAAGAGAGAAGGATGTTGCAGGATCCAATCTCGGTCGGTCACCGGAACCAGAGATTTAGACTTTTGAACTTTCTGAGCTTTTGGACTCGTGCTGAAGCCCATCCTCAGGGAACGTCTCTCTCACCAGAACTACCGGTACTCTTTCACACATTCTGATGAGACAGAAGACTAAATCTCTGGTCTTATCCTGGGACACGTATGCAGGTCATCCTCAACTTAAAACAATTCGTTTATGGTGGTTCAAAGTTTCCGCGGCACCGGAAAAAAATGAGTTATGATCATTTTTCACCGATACCTCATTGCAGCCTTTATCAAAAATTCAGATACTGCCTCATATTTATGATGGTCGCACCGGTCCTGGAATTGTGTGATTTCCTTTTGCGACCTTCTGACAAGTGAAAAAGCCAGATCCATTTAACCAGCGTGTTACTCACTTAGCAGCTGCAGTGGTTTGCTTAACCACCGAGGTGAGAAAGGTCATAAAATGGGGCCAAACTCTCTTAACAAAAGTCTTGCTGAGCAACAGAAGCGTTGGGCTCAACTGCATCGGTACGTCAAGGACTATCTATATTTGCTGTCGTTCCTGACGTGTTTCTGGATCGCTATCTAGTGTCCTGATTGGGACCCACAACTCATGTCTCTCCCTCTTTGGTTTTCCTGCAGGCAGAAAGCATTGGCTTCGACCGGAGGACGAAGTGTGCAAGCAGCTTGCGACTGGTGGGTATGAATTCACATATTATGAAATCTCTAACATTGTCGCTTCGTGCGTAGGCAGACTGGCTCCTCTGACATTGATCTCCAACTACATCCAAAGCAATTATCTCTCTGGCATCTCACAAATTAAAAATAAGAGCAGGTTTTATAACAGCCCCAGGGCAGGAACACCATTTGCCCTCCAATTTGCATCTGCTTACTTGCATTAGATATTATTATATATTCTGCCTGAGCATCTCCTGGGCTCCATCTTTAGAGTCGAGGGAGCCACCCAAGAGCTTTTCTTGATTATAGGGGTATTAAAAAAACTAATATGTAAATAAAATATATGAGAAAAAAAGTTTTCCCAGAGCTGTGTTTTTCAAACTTGGCAACCTGACCAGCAGGAGACCAACTGGAACATTTTGAAAGATGTGAACTTCAGCTCCCAGAATTCCCTAGCTAACATTGCTGGCTGGAGCATTCTGGGAGTTGAAGTCCATCCATCTGAAAGTTGCCATGGTTGAGAAACTCTAGGTTTCTTCCATGACTCCCCCTTTCAGTCTAGCTGGCAGTTTCCCAACACCCCGAGTCTTGATGGGGGCAGATTCCAAATTATCATTAAAAAAAAAAAAGGCAGATAATGAAAAGGGCGTCGTCTCTTGCAGTCCTCGTATTTCTCCGGATTTGTTCCTTGGATCCAAAGGGCCATCTGTTCTCCTCGCTTCTTTCTTACAGGCTCTTTTCCCACGTCTGTGATCCATTCCTCGACGATCCTCTTCCTCGGGAATATGTCCTCTACCTGCGTCCCACCGGCCCCTTAGCGCGGAAGCTCACCGAATTCTGGCAGCAGTCAAAGCAGTTGTGTGGGAAGAACAAAGCCCACAACATTTTCCCCCATATTACGCTCTGCCAATTCTTCATGGTGAGTCTGGGCTGGAGCACCCAGATTTTCTTCCCAAATTTGCAAGGCACGTTTGAGGTCTGCATCTCACCTTCTCCTGGGATGTCTTGCAGAGTGAAGACAGCAAGGTGGACGCCCTCTGCGAAGCCTTGCAGGCCACAGTGACCCGGTGGAGGTGCAAGTTCCCTGCTCCTTTGCCTCTGGAACTCTATACCTCATCCAACTTCATCGGTCTCTTTGTTAAGGAGGACTGTGCAGAGATCCTGAAGAAATTTGCTGCAGACTTCGCAGCTGAAGCCACTGCTAAAGCTGGTGAGCATATAGCCGAGTGACAGAGTTGGAAGGGACCTTGGAGGTCTTCTAGTCCAACCCCCTGATCAGGCAGGAAACCCTAGACCAGTGGTTCTCAACCTTTCTAATGCCGTGACCCCATAATACAGTTCCCCATGTTGTGGTGACCCCCAACCACTTATACATCATCGGGTGCCAGGGGCGTGGCCAAAGAAAAGGGGAAAAAATGGCGGATAGCCTTGTTTGGCGACCCCCGTGAAATGGTCGTTCGACCTCAAATGGGGTCCCGACCCACAGGTTGAGAACCACTGCCCTAGACCATTTCAGACCAATGGTTGTCCAATCTCTTCTTAAAAACTTTCAGGGATGGAGCATCCACAACTTCTGGAGACAAGTCGTTCCACTGGTTAATTGTTCCCACCGTCAGGAAATTTTTCCTTAGTTCCAGGTTGCTTCTCTCCTTGATTAGTTTCCATCCGTTGCTTCTTGTCCTGCCTTCAGGTGCTCTGGAGAATAGGTTGATCCCCTTCTTCTTTGTGACAACCCCTGAGATATTGGAAGACTGCTATCATGTCACCCCTAGTCCTCCATAGTGTCTCATACAACTGAATCACAGATAGTCAGAATTTTTTATTGCTAATCAAGGCAGTGGTTGAGTTGCGCCTGATTTCACGACCTTTTCTGCTATGGCTGTTAAGTGAATCCCTGCAGTTGTTAAAATGAAGCACATCATCATTAAGTGAATTTGGCTTCCCCCACTGAGTTTGCTTGTCGGAAACCAGTGGGGAAGGTTGTAAGTGGTGATCACATGACCTTGGGACACTGCAGCCATCATAAATAAATGCCAGTTGCCAAGTACCCGAATATTAGGGGACACTGTGACAGTTATACGTGTGAGGACCTATCATAACTCACTTTTGTGCTATTGTAATTTGAATGGCCGCTAAAAATGGTAGTAAGTCAAGGGCCACCTGAACAATTCTGCATTCATGTATATTAGCTAGGTTGAGAAGGTAAATGGGGGAAAATCCATGATAGCATTGATTATTTCCAATGCCAATAATGCTACAAAAAAAAGATATTTTTATATTCACTTTCAGTCTAGTAACATCTGCTCATCCATAACGCAAAATGAAATGCTGGATCAGTTGGGCTACCTGCTGTTCTCAATGGCTTGCGGTTGACCACAATTTTCCTTCTTGTAGATGTGCATGTGGAACCTCACAAGAAGCAACTCCATGTAACCCTGGCTTACCACTTCCAAGCCAACCACTTGCCCACCCTTGAGAAGTTGGCTCAGAGCATTGATGTCAAACTGGGCTGTGACTGGGTAGCTGCCATCTTCTCCCGTGACATTAGATTTGCCAATCATGAGGTAAGTTGGACTTGAAGAAACTTCTTGTAAAACCAGGAAGATGCTCTGAAATCAGGGTTGACTCACTATGTCCATGTGCTTCCTTGGCAGTATTATAGAAGTGATTTGTCACAGTATTCTGGGATGGCTTCTTGACTTCTCAGTTGAGTCAACAGTCTTGACTTCCCAGTTTTGTCAATAGCCCTAGAATTCTGTGGTGGATCCTCAGAATTCAAATACGGCAAACGTAGTGAAGTAGAAATGAAAGATTATTTATTTGGGGGTGGGAATTCCAGGAGCTTTAGTCTTAGAGTTTTTCCCTGAGAATCCACGGTTAGGAAAAAGTAGAACAGAACATAGAATAATAAAATTAGAAGGGACCTGTAGATCTTCTGCTCCAACCTCCTGCTTGATCAGGAGACATTATACCATTTCAGACAAGCCTCCAATGATGGAGTGAAAGCCTCTAGTGATGGAGCACCCACAATTTCTGAAGGCAAGCCATTCCATTGGTTGATTGCTCTCACCATTAGGAAAGTTCTCCTTGGTTCTAGGTTGCTTCTCTCCTTGGTTAGTTTCCATCCATTCTTCACATCTTCTGAAGGATTGGAGAAAGGAGCCCGAAGCAAGAGATTTGCCCATCATTGCTCAATGTCTTCCTCTTTCTCTCTTCCAGACCCTGCAGGTCATCTACCCCTACACCCCACAGAACGATGATGAGCTTGAACTTGTGCCAGGAGACTTTATCTTTATGTCTCCTGTGGAACAAATCACAACTAGTGAAGGCTGGATCTATGGTACTTCTTTTGCCACTGGGTGCTCAGGATTGTTGCCGGAGAATTATATCACCAAAGCCGATGAATGTGGCACTTGGGTATACCATGGGTGAGTGGTTCCATGGTGTCTAGCATCTCGTGGGGAGAAACCCTCATCCTGGGCAGAAGGCTAATAAGAACTTTTCTTGTTGATGGGTCTGTGAAATACCAGGTTAGACACACATTGATAGACGCTCACGATGGACTTGTGAGTAGATGCATATTGATAGATCAAGATGAACTCTGGGTAGAAACATGTTGGTAAGAGATCAAGACGAAGTACTGATGGAGAAGATCCAATCTCTCTTGGGACGTTCAAAAGCCGCCTCTCTGTCTACATCTCATTTAATCACTGCAATTTGGAGCCAATGTTGAACATTGTCCAGTTCTCACCTTTGTGTTCTGCTCTTCCTCCCAAATGGCAAGCATTATGGAAGGGAACAGTAGAATCTCTTCCTTGCGAGACAGGCTGCACAAATGATTTGCTCCAGATTTTAATAATATCTTCATAAGAGAGCTGAGATTTTGAAACCAGGCGAATTACGGTCCTCAGTTGTAAACACCCATGCCCCTAAGGAGATGATATAGGCATACTGACCATAGTATACTTACGCTACCAAGCGATGACCCACAGCTTACCCTTGTCTGTTGCAAAAACCAACCCCTGTGTCTTCTTGCATCTTTGGAAAATGTTAGTTTTATTTTCTTTTTACCATAAGAATTGGTGGAGATCAGCTGGCACCAGGCTCAGGACCCTTTGGTAGAATTCTACACTTAAAAGAGTTGTATTTTCTACAAGTTAGCCATATTTTCATTTTCTGCACTGGGACTAGGTCATATTCGATTATGAACGCCGCTATTTCCTCGTCTGTCTTGATGTTCGCTGATGGGGTGATGGATCGGAGATTCCAGGAGGATCAAGGACCAGGAGAAACAGGGCCTCTCACCATTTTCTGTCAGAGTATGCAGGTAAGGAAAGCTCGCACTTGTGAGTCTCCCTTTACCTCTCTCCAATGTATGGTTTGACTCTCGGGAGAGGAGAAATCAAGCTAAGGTAGTTTTTAAATCCTACTTTCTTCTTGTGATCAGCCCTTAAGGATCGCCAACACACCTGGACTCCAGAAAAGATGCCTTTTTGTTTGTCGTCATGGAGAAAGAATGGACGTTGTGTTTGGAAAATATTGGCTCTCACAATGTTTTGATACCAAAGGTGAGTTTCTCTCTCCCTTCCACTCCATGATGAACCTGTTCGTTCCTCTGTGTTTTGTTGTTGTTAGTTGTGAAGTCGTGTCTGACCCATCGCGATCCCATGGACAACGCTCCTCCAGGCCTTCCTGTCCTCTACCATCTTCTGGAGTCCATTTAAGTTCACGCCTACTGCTTCAGGGACTCCATCCAGCCACCTCATTCTCTGTCGTCCCATTCTTCTCTTGCCCTCCATCTTTCCCAGCATCAGGCTCTTCTCCAGTGAGTCTTCCTTCTCACTAGGTGGCCAAAGTACCTGAGCTTCAACTTCAGGATCTGGCCTTCTAAAGAGCAGTCGGGGTTGATCTCTTCTAGGACTGACCAGTTTGAACGCCTTGCAGTCCAAGGGACTCGCAGGAGTCTTCTCCAGCACCAGAGTTCAAAGGCCTCCATTCTTTTGTGCTCAGCCTGTCTGATGGTCCAACTTTCACAGTACAGGTAGCTAATTTGGAGTTCATAATAGGGATTCACCCGAATTAGAAGAGGATGGGAAGTAGGCTGGAACAAAAGCATAAGACAAATGAGAAGAAAGAGAGTGTGTGTCCAAAGACTTTAAAGGGAGAATTTATAGTGATTTCTGAGATGCTGGAACTTCCTAGATAGATGGGCAGGCAGACAGACAGACAGATGCCCTGGGTCCTCTTGCAGACATTTCATTACCTAATTGGGTAACATCATCAGTGCTGGAAGGGGGTAGAGTTTATATACCATGGCTTACATTGTCAGTGTTGTTGAGATTTCTTGATGATTTGTTGATTAGATTGTTGTTTACTGTTAGCTTGTTTGTCTGAGATGGCAGTTCATTGATTGGGTTATTGTTTACTGCTTGATTATAAGATGGATGGGCGGGCGGGCGGGCAGGCAGGCAGATCTTATCTGAGCCTGGAAGTGGATTAGTACTGGGATAAGAGAACACCAAGAAATTCTAGGGCACTGGGCTAGATTGATAAATTTAAAAAACGGGCTAGAAGACGACGAAGCCGTCTAAATCATTCCCCTGAAAATTGCGTACCTGTCACCTTGAAAAACAATGGTACCAATCACAAAATTGCAAGCCATCCCTTTAACATAAAAGAGGTGGCAACGCCTAGTTGGCTAGGCGTTGCCAACCTTGGCTGATCTCAAAAGATCAGCAAGGTCAAACCAAATTGTATTTTGGAAAGAGAGGCCATCAGCTGCCCCAGCTTTGGACACTAGAAGTCAATCCCATCATCATCATCACCACCACCACTCCACCCCTCAGAACTCGACTGGGGCCAACCCCTTCTCTAATGTAGCCAAGAAAAGTTCACAGATGCTAACAGGAGTTGCGCTTGACTTTATCTTGACGTGAGGCGTGCATCCTTGACGAATCTCCTTTTCCGGCACTGTTCTGTGTCTCCTTACAGGAAGATACATCCGCACAAATCTGAATATGCCTCACAACTTGCCCCAACGGAGCGGTGGTTTTAGGGAGTATGAAAAGGATGCTCCCATCACGGTACTGGGATGCACGCAAGCCCGCCTTGTGGGTAAGTATGTCTGGGGAGGGAAGGGGCAAGTTGAAAACGTTTATCTTCGTCTTTGCAAGCTCTTTGTCTAAAGCAGGGGTCCCCAATCCCAGGGCCGTGGCCCATTCGGAACTGGGCCACACAAGTGGCAGGCTAGCATGCGTGCGCAGCTCCATTTGTGCGAGCGGTGGGGACTCGCGCAGGCCCGTGAAGCTCCACTTGTGCAAGTGTCTGCTGCTCATGCAAATGGAGCTGCGTGTGTAAGCACACACACCTGCTGCTCACACGGAACCATGGCCTCTCCCACTCCCTGCTGGCCCACAAAGCCAGAAAGGTTGAGGACTGCTGATCTAAAACCAGAGTGTCCAACCTTAGTAACTTTAAGACCTGTGGACTTCAAATCCCAGAATTCCTTAGTCAGCTGTGCTGGTTGGACACCCCTGATGTAAAGGCAAGGGCACGCACACCCTTGCACAGCCTCGTGACTTGTTCACTAATGCTTCTGTCGCTGTTGGCCTCTCCTTAACAAAGCCTCCATTTCCCACGCCTCCTCATGGCTGCCTTGCTTGCCACAAGCCCAGTTTGGCTCAGTGGTGGGATTCAGCCAGTTCGCACCAGTTCAGTAGAACCAGTAGCTAATTTTTTGTTGCCCAGGCCCAAAATGGACTTCTGGAAGCGGCATCCACACAGAGAGCCAGTAGTTCACATATTTGAATCCCACCACCGGTTTGGCTGCAGCTTCTCCAGTGACAACATTTGGGCCAATGATGCCAACTGTGTCACTCAGGTTAAACAATGTCACTGGCAGAGTGATATCCAACCTCTGCCCCCTCCCTCCCTTCCCCAAGAGTCCCTGAAAATGACTTCTGCAATTCCCTACTGCAAGTCTCACATTTTCCAGAGTGACAGTGTGATAGCCCGTCGCAACACAACTCTACATCTTGAGCTAAGCTTAAAAAGGAAACACACGTGGGATAGGAATATTATTTTTACAACACGACTGCCATCTAGAGGCTGAAGTTGGTTACTGCTTTGCAGGTCACAGTTTTCGTTGCATTTCTCCTCAAAATGCAAAATGGGGAACTGATCTGCCCAAATTTATAAAGACTCACAATAGCTCATGTGATCAAAGTCCAATTTGAAATGAGAAATGGCAATGAAGCAAAGATATTCTCTTTGGCCAAAACTCAATAGAAGCTAATTTCCAGTGTCTTGTCTATAAAATCAAATGAACTGCAACTAGAATACCTTACATCATCATCATCATCATCATCATTATTATTATTTATATAATAATAATAATATAGATATTAAACCATCTAATTAATAATATTGATTTTCCATTTTTCTTTTACCCATTTTCAAGGTCTTTTTAGGGTTGGAAAGTGACCCTTTTCCTCCCTTAAAAAAGCCAGTTTGGTCCTTGGTGCATTGCAGACACTGCTGTGTCCTTTATTTTGAACCCGTGTCTTCCCACAGGCGAGGCTCTTCTTGAAAGCAACACCGTCATCCACCACATCTATTGCTCCCCGTCGCTGCGCTGTGTGCAGACTGCACACCATATCCTGAAAGGTCAGTCGCTGGGTGGGTGGATTTTGAGTTCCCTGAGAGAAGCCCATGGCTGAGTCCAGCCTTGTGATGAAACTGAGAGCTAGTTCCTATATTTGTGTAAAATTCTGTGGCTCAAAGTTTTAACCCAGCCAGAATTGCGATTTATACGCACGTAACATGCAGTTGATAAGAACAGAGAGACAAGAGGCCAAATTTGTTCATCAAAAAGGAAAGAGAAACATTTGCAAATGGCATGCATTATTTTGAAGCATTGGCCTCAAATGAATTCTTTTATCTTCCTTCTTTTCTTTTTTCTTTCCTTCCTTCCTTCCCACCATACCTCTTCCTTCCTTCCTTCCTACCATCCCCTTCCTTCCTTCCTCCCTCCCTTTTTTCTTTCTTTCTCTTTCTTTCTTTCTTTTTCTTTTCTTTTCTTTCTTTCTTTCTTATAGGTTTGCAACAAGAAAATAACCTGAAGATTCGAGTCGAGCCAGGCTTGTTTGAATGGACCAAATGGGTGTCAGGCAATTCTCTGCCAGCCTGGATCCCTCCCATGGATTTAGCAGCAGCTAGTTTGAGTGTCGATACAACATACAGGTAGGAGCGACAGTTGCAGGAATTGGGTATGTCTAGTTTAATGAAAAGGAAGACTAATCAAGAAGCTAATCAAGAAGAGAGCCAACCTACACTTAGAAAGATTGACTAGTGGAATGGCTTGCCTCCAAAAGTTGTGGGTGCTCCAACACTGGAGGTGTTTAAGAATAGCCAATCATCTACCTGAAATGGTGTAGGGTCTCCTGCTTGAGCAGCGGGTTGGACTAGAAGACCTCCAAGGTCCCTTCCAACTCCATTATTCTGTTATTTGTTTGCATTTATTTATTTCAATTGATTCGTGCAGCCACCCAGCTGAAAACCCAATTCTGGGAGGCTAATGGCCTTTAAAATACTAGTGCAAAATAATAAGAAAAACAACAACCCAAAAGCAGAAAGGCACAAACAGAGAACGGTCACCAAACTTTTCCTTCTTACGACATTTGGATTTTTCAGTTTCTGTTCCTTTTTTTTTTTTACCTCCACAGACCTCATTTAGCTGTGAACAAATTAGGAATTTCTGAATCCTATGAAACCTACATCAGCAGAAGTTTCCAGGTCACCAAGGAGATCCTAAGTGAATGCAAAGCTAAAGGCAAGTATAATCCCATCCTCAAGAAGAGAAGTAACACCAGATTCAGAGATACAGGTAGTCTGCGACTTACAACAGTGCATTTAGTGACCGTTCAGAGTTAAAACGTTGGCTCTGAAAAAAGCGTTAGGACCATTTTTCACACTTATGACAGTTGCAGTGTCCGATAGTCACGCGATCTCCTTTTGCCACCTTCTGACATGCAAAAATCACTGGGGGAAGGCAGAATCGCTTAACAACCGTGATACTAGCTCAACAACTGCAGTGATTCAACTTAACAAATGTGGCGAGGAAAGTCGCAAAACGGGGCAAAACTCACTTAACAACATAAATCGCTTAGCAACATAAATTTGGGGGTCAATTGTGGTCGTAAGTCCAGAACTGCCTGTGGTGTGTAACACTGCCACCCAAGATAGTGCAGGACAGGATTGCAAAGCGAAGGCAGAAGAGAAAAACCATCGTCCTGCTTTACGACAAGAAGCTCATGAATGCTGTAAATAGACTTTCTCTCTTTTTTAAAAAAGTTACAAACTGCAAACCTCTCTATTCTGTTATGCACAAATTTAAGGAAAAAAAAATAAGAAGACCTGTCCTATGTAAAGAGAGAGACTCTTGGGGAAAGAGGGCAGAAGAATTTTACTATTCTAAGATTTAAACTCATTTTCTTTGGCCAAAAGAATTAATCCATCTCACGACTAGATCGCTGTTGTCTTCCCCGTGTCTTGAGCCTTACCCCCTACGTTGAGTTGAATTCAGTTGGGTCAGATTGTGCTGCATTGAGTTGGGTTGAGTTGGGTTGCATTGCATTATGTTGCATTGCATTAGAAAGAGAGCCAGGAAGCTAAATCCACACAATTCTGTTTTTCGTTTTTTGTTTTTGTTTTTACCGCAGGGAATAACATTTTGATAGTTGCACACGCGTCCTCCCTGGAGGCCTGTACTTGCCAGCTACAGGGACTGTCAGCGCAGAATTCAAAGGACTTTGTCCAGATGGTCCGGAAGGTGATTGATATGCTGTCAAGATAAAGCTTTTTAGATTTGGTTGTGTTTGTCCCCTGATGAAAATCTTCTTACGAATCCAAACGTGCTTTATTCAGTCAGGCGTGATCCCTAAGCTTATTGTCTGAGCGCTAGAATCACATGAGTAGGGAGGGTTGCTTGAAAGGGATTGTCTCGTACCTCATTTGGGTAACTAGCTGACGGTGCCCATAAAATTGTACATAAAGAGTAGTGGCCAAAATTGTGGAAACCTTTTGGGAAAAGTGTACAGTAGAAATGCCACCTTTGGTTAAGTTTCCACCAATTTTTCTTCTAATTTCTTTATAACTGTAGCCTTGTTTACTTGATAATACTATTTTACATCGCTTTCTGGGCAACCAGTCAAATCTTTGCACCATTACTTTAATTTTATTATGTTTTACAAGCTCACTAAATGAAAGAACACAAAAAACCCTAACCAACTTGATAGCAATCACATAACACACTGACACTGACACTGTCCTCCTCTCAGCTTCAATATATGACATCAATAACTGAATCCTACTGTGATCCGATTGGCTCATGGCCAAAACAAGATGACACCTGATTGGGTCTCTAAAAACTCATGCTCATTGGCTACAATCGGATGAAGGAAAGCTACCTGATATCAACTTAAGCAAGTTGTGCTTCCTTTTTCTGGTTATTTGGCTATAACTTCTCATAGACTACAGTACAGATAATTAAACAAACTTTGTTGCATTATATTCTTGATTAAATTATCTTTCCACTGATATATACGTTTGTGGTATTACTCCAAAAAAAAGTAGTGTTATTAGCCATCAAAGCTCAAATGTACACTTTTCCCAAAAGGTTTCCACAATTTTGGCCACTACTGTATGCACACTGGCAGAGCAATTAATCCCAACTGGGCATTATAGAATTAGCGTTTTGAAAAGGTTATTTCAGCATCCGTTCTCTTTTGCACGTGCATTTTCAACCTGCATGTTACTTCTGCGCTCCTGAAACAAAATTGTAACTGTGTAGAGAAAGTGCATGGCTAAAAAGTATTCTTTCTCCTTTCCAAACACAACCTAAATAATGTCATTTGACAAAAAAATATTGAAATCAAGTTACTATGCAACATCTTGGCTAGGTTTCAGAAGAGTATTAAAAGTAAGAAAGTTTAGAGAGACTTGTCTAATGAGTGAAGGTAATCCTCCATTTACAACCCTTCTGTTCAAAGATGTAATGGCAATGAAGGAAGTGACTTATAACCCATCCTTGCACTTACGTCCATTGAAGCATCCTCACAGTCGTAATCAAAATTTGGGCACTTGGCATATATTGAGCACGGTTGCAGCATCCTGGGGCAGGCAGGGGTAGGCAACCTTGGCTCTTTTATGACTCGTGGACTTCAACTTCCAGAATTTCTGAGCCTGCTCTCTCGGAGTTGAAGTCCATGAGTCATAAAAGAGCCAAGGTTGCCTACCCCTGTCCTGGGGTCTTGTGATCACCATCTGCAAGCTTCACAGTTGGCTTTTGACCAGCCAGCAAAGTCAGGGGAGGGAAGCTGGATTCGCTTAACGACCTCATTGTTCTCCTAACAAACCTAGCAAGAATGGTCTTAAAATGAGGCACAACATCTGTGAACAACTACCTTGCAGAAATTCTCCTCCCGGCTGTGGTTATCCGTTGAGAGCTACCTGTATGAGGAGACAAAAAGAAGAAACAGAATATTTTCAAACTTGGGACCTATTTTATCAATGGTTAGAGAAAAGATTTAGGGATTAGGAATTGAATTTATATTAGTGAATAAGACACTCAAACAACACGTTTTTGTTGAACAATTATTATTGAACTCTGTTTTAAAAATAATAAAACTTTATAAAAAGAAAACCAAAATTAAATTCAAGCAGATCACACCCTGGACACTGTGGGAACTGAGTCTTAATTTCTACATCTGTTTCTGTACAAATTTAAGTCTCACTGTAGGTGCAAGAGGCAGCTCAGTTTATGAGCAAGGTCCCCAAAACTGTGCTTGGCCTCCTAAAGTAGCAAGACTAGACACAGGGACGGTTTTTTTCCCTTCTGCTATCATTCTACTGAACACTTAATTCTTGCAAGTCTAATGTATATGTATATTAACCCATACAGTGGGGCTGTAGAATTATTAGGGATCCTTTTTATTATCTATTTTATTGGTGGTATTATTATTATTATTATTATTATTCCCCTTTTATTGGTGGTGGTGGTATTATTGTTGTTGTTGTTATCTCTGTTGCTTTGCAAGTAAACTGAGTGCCTCTGTACCAGACACAATTTCCTTGTGTGTCTAATCATATTGGCCAAGTAAAGTACCGTACTTTCCGGCGTATAAGACGACTTTTGAGAGCGTTGAAATTGGCGCCGAAGTCAGGGGTCGTCTTATACACCGAGTCGTCTTATACGCCGGAAATAACGGTAGTTTCTGGCGTATAAGACGACTTTCTAGGCATGCGACTCGGCGTCGAAGTCAGGGGTCGTCTTATATGCCGGGTCGCCTTATACGCCGGAAAGTACGGTATTCAGTTCAGCTCAGTTCAATTCTGTTCTGACGTTCCGAAGTGATGGTCCCACAAGGATTTGAGAGAAAAAGCTTGGCAGTGCTTAAGAGATAGAGATAGCCCGTTCTTTTTTTTTTTTTTTTGTATAGATTTTATTAGTTTTTAATAGGTTAGGGATAAGGTGGAGTAGGGATTAGGGTTGGGGTTTGGGATAGGGTTAGGGTTGGGGGTTTTCCAAATAACATTTTCAATATTTAGCAAACAGCATAATGTCTAGGTACATGTATTTAACTAACAATAATAGAGATAGTTAATGATCATAAACAATATGTTAATTCATCACTCAATAGCCTTCTTCTTACTAATATATATTCAGAATTACATATCACATTCCTTTCTCTCTGACTCGTTGTTCTAGCCATTGATAAAAATTATCCCATGTTCTAAAGTACACTGAGTCTTCTTTCTTTTATCTTTAAAGTCAATCTATCCATTTCTGCACACTCTAGATGAATTTTCTTAATTAGTACTTCTTCAGTTGGTAAATTTTCATTTTTCCAATGTGAGATAGCCCCTGTTCTAAGCTAAAGCATGAAACAAATCAAGGAGAGAGCCAACTTAGATCTAAGGAGAAATTTTCTGACAGTTAGAACAATTATGGAACAACTCGCCTCCAGAAGTTGTTAATGCTCCAACACTGGAGGTTTTTAAGAAGAGACTGGACAGCCACTTTGTCTGAAATGGTATAGGGTTTCCTGTCTGAGCGGGGGGTTGGACTAGATCAATGGTTCTCAACCTTTTTAATGCCGCGACCCCCAACTGGTCGTAAGTCGAGGACTACTCAACCGGTCGTAAGTCGAGAACTACTCAATTGGTGCAGCACCGTTTGCCGAATGGGACTTTTGGCGGGCTCAGCAGGGCAGAGACAGCCTGGACAATTCCTATTGGCTTTTGAAAGCCAATAGAATTAGACTCTATTCAAGAGAGTCTATTCTATTGGCTTTCAAAAGCCAATAGAATAAAAGGGAGTAGCACAGTTAAGGAAACGGGGGGAAAAAAATGGCGGACTGCATTGTTTGGCGACCCCCGTGAAATGGTCGTTCGACCCCAAATGGGGTCCCAACCCACAGGTTGAGAACCACTGGACTAGATGACCTTCAAAGCCCCTTCCAACTTTGTTATTCTGTTAAATCTCTCGCTGATGTTTCTTTTCCTTCGATTCAGATTCCATACTTGGGCTTTTGCTGCTGCGAAGAGCTTGGAGACACCGGACTTTGGCAACTGACCGATCCACCCATCCTGCCACTCACTCACGGACCAACGGGTGGCTTTAACTGGAGAGAAACTCTGCTGCAAGAATAAGGCCAAAAAGGGAAGAAGTCAGAAGGACAGGAAAAAGAGGGCTTTCTTAAAAACTGGTGAATGTCTCTCGCCTCCGCGAGAGTTGTTTTTTTTTTTTTTAAAGAAACAAAAAATAGAAAATATTGATGGTGGAGAAAATTACTCCTAGCCCTGGAAATGGCTTTAAAAATGACACTTAAGCATATCTGCCGCAGAACGGCACTTCTAGGGGAACAAAATAGCAAATATAGCATCTGCTTGGACTGTGGAAAAATATAACGTATTCCAATTTATTTTTATTCTTTGTTTCTTCAGTCTTCTGTCCAGCAGATACGTCTCTCTGATGTAAGCCATTGAGTTTTAATGTACTATATCTCTATGTGTATATTTATATGTGTGTGTGTGTGTGTGTGTGTGTGTGTGTGTGTGTGTGTGTGTATATATATATATATATATATATATATATATATATATATATATATATGTAGGTCTTTGGTCATTCGGGTTTTCTCCCGTGTCAAATTGGAAGTGTCTTGGCGACGTTTCGACGAAGTCTCATTCATCATCTTCAGGCTGGTGTTTTCGGCTTCGTGCTCCTAGAAGCACGAAGCCGAAAACACCAGCCTGAAGATGACAAATGAGACTTCGTCGAAACGTCGCCAAGACACTTCCAATTTGACGCGGGAGAAAACCCGAATGACCAAAGACCTACATAGAAACACCCGTGAAAACCTCAGAAAACATATATATATATAAATAATTTGGAATTAAGGTCTAGGCAGTTTTCACTGCCTTCTGTATAATTGTTAGCAACAAAGTTGTAAGCTGTGGCTTTCATTTGTTAGTTTTTTTTTTAAATTTTTCTTTGAGTGCACCGTAAAATTTTGTTCTGAGCCATTTTCGATCAAGTGCACTCCAAGCAAATATATATATATATATTGAGCAAGATTTCATTCCCCATAGGGATGTGTCTGGAAAGAAAATTATTTTTCTGTGGAAGAAAATTTCAGATCAAAATAGAGAAGGTTGCCTAACATACAGTATATCTAATTTTTCTAGCATTGTCAGGACTGGGTTATCAAATCAACTATTTGAAATGAACAAAAGGAATCAGAATTAAAAAGAAAGAGAGAGAGAGATTTTGTACAGGGAAGTCTTGTTTGCACACTAATGTACAGGTAGTGTTCGACTTACGACCACAATTGAGCAAAAAATCTCTGTTGCTACAGTAAGTGAAACAATTGTGAAGTGAGTTTTGCTCCTTTTTACGACCTTCCTTGCCACAGTTGTTAAGGGAATCACTGCCATTGTTAAGCTAGCAACCCGGTTGTTAAGTGAGTCTCGCTTCCTCACCGACTTTGCTTGTCAGAAGGTCACAAAAAGGGATCGCGTGACACCCCTCCCCGGGACACTGCAACCGTCATAAATATGAATCAGTTGCCAAACAGCTGAATTTTGATCATGTGACCGCGGGGATGTTGCAACAGCCGTAAGGGTGAAAACTGGTCATAAGTCACTTTTTTCAGTGCCATTGTAACTTTTGAATGGTCACTAAATGAACTGTCGTAAGATGAGGACTACCTGTGTTATCTCGCCATACTGAAAAACCACTGGTGAAACAATTCTCTAGTTAGAGCATGGGTTCTCAACCTTGGCAACTTTAAGACTTGTGGACTTCAACTCCCAGAATTCCTCAGCCAGCTTTGCTGGCTGAGGACTTCTGAGAGTTGAAGTCCACAAGTCTTAAAGTTGCCAAGGTTGAGAACCCCTGAGTTAGAGACTGGAGAAATGCTCAACTTTATTGGAAATAATGTATTTCAACCACCATCAGCACCTCTTGGTGATATAGTCAACTATGTTGAACATACAACTCAAGCTGGCCAGATTGGGGGGGGGGGCACATTCAACATGCACATGACCCCCAAGGCCATCGTCTTCAACCATGTGGGGCAGATCTTCCGTGCATTTTTCTTTTTTTCTTCCCCTGTCATAAATATTGCTCAGGCAAATAAGGTACTAAGGTACTCTTTTAATTGACAGGGATTTTGCCCGCAGGACGACGATTCCTTTCTATAAAAGTTTATTATCCTCCCCCATTTTTTCCCCTCCCTTACTCATCAGAATATTGACTTTTCAAACTTCACAAGTCTCTTATAATCATCGGTATGCACAAAAGGTGGTCTCGTTTCATTCGTTTTGTATTATTTGTCCTAACTGGTTTTAGGGCAATTAGTCTGCAGAGTTCCTTGTGCAAACAAGCAAATGAAAAGTGTTCTCATTTTGTGGCTGTTTGTACACAGAGCTGGTCCTATCATGAGTCAGAGGGCAAGGCTTCCGTTGAGACATTTTGAGTTCTGGTGGATAATCTAAACGTGGGTGCTACTGGATCAGCTCTTAGATAGCCCACAAAACACACAAGATCTGGTCCTGGATATATCTAGTAATGGGATTAAGCTGGATGGTAATCTTGAATATTCAAAATATTGCAGTGCCTGTTGATTTCCTGTTGGTGTGAACTTGGTGACTGGGAATTAAAGAGGGGAAATTTTGCTAACAGAACTAGAAAAATTTATTTAATAACAATTGGATATAAGAGAGGTGGTATTGTTAAAGGTGCACCCAGAAAATGCGAGTTCAGAATTCATAGAAATGGGGGTCCCTAAGATTCAGATAGGCAGAGCTGCCTGTTTCACGGTGCCATTTCAAGGTACGTTTAAATGCTATGTTGAATTGATAAACATCAATTTATCAAATTGTTTGAAAAATGTGGTACTTTTCCACGCATTTAGGCAGTTTAAAGATGCAGCTTTTACCTTCAACTACATTCAAGGCCAGTATGAAAAGTCCAAGGAACTATTTTTGGGGTGTCTGGTTGGGACGATAAGTATCTTAAGATAGTTTCACCAGACATAAAGTTGACCCCAGCAGATACACAACAACACTAACTTGGTAAACTATGGTTCATACATTACCACTGATCCTCAACTTATAACAATCACAGTTGAGACCAAATTCTCTGTTGCTGAGCGAGTTGCATTTGATTTTATGACCTTTTTCATGCAGTTGTTAGGCAAATCAAATGATCATTAAGCGAATCCAGCTTCCCCCATTGGCTTCACTTGTCAAAAGACCCCAGGGAATTTCACCAATTGCCCTCACATTACCCTGGGATGCTGTAGCCATCATAAAGATCTGCCAGTTGCCAAGGGCCCAAATTTGGATCACATGTCCCTGGGGACACGGTAACAATCATTAAGTGCGAAGGCTGCTTTGTAAGTCATTTTGCAACAGTTGCTAAGCAAAGGTTTGTGAGTCAAGGACTGCCTATATTCCTTAGTGCTGCAGGTGGTTTGAATGGTAGAAAAACCGGCTTCAATTCAACCCAAAATATTGTGCTACCTAAGGCAACAGTCAAAATGGTGCTCCCTTTTTTATCCACATACCAAAGCCAACCCAACTGCCAGTTAAATCTTTCTTCAACCGTGGTGGTGATATGGTCCCATTACCTTCCCTACTGCACCTCAAGGCTCAAGACTAGTTTAGGGAGCACCAAGTAGGTACTCTGGGCACAGAGCTTACGTCTCCAAACCTTGTTGGCACCTTCCTGAATTCTGCCAAAGGGTAGGGCTGGCCAGCCCTCAACGGAGCTGCCACGGGGCTGGTTTGAATAAACCATAATGCCATTTGTATCTTACATATAGGATAAGCTTTGCTTTAAAAAAGGAGCTTCCAGCCAGCATAGCATAGGGGGCTACGCTGATCCTGAAAGCTCCTGGTGTGCAATATGTAAATTTACTTAAATTATGTACATTCTACCCATTGTAAAAGGAGGTGTTCTGAAAAGTGTTATTTTTAACCAGGAATGTACAGTGAAAAGTCAAGAAGTTGCAACTGAGCGCAGGAGAGCAATTGCAGGCCTTGTATTATGCAGTTGGTTGCTGCTAGTATTTTTGGAGATGTATACATATGTGTATAGACACACACACCTGCACATACATATATATACACACACGTATGTAATTTAAAATATTTTTGGCTATGTACAGATATTCTAACAATGACCGAAAATCTAGCTTCTTTAGGCTTGTTTTTCCAGAAGAGTCCTTGCGATCTTTGAACCGTGTTTGACAATCAAAGCCGACCTATGGATGACTGATATGTATTTAATTGGGGCGGGAATTGTGTTTTGCACTGACAGCTTGCAGGTTGTTCATACTTAATGATGTACTGTACAAAAAAAAACCCCATGTTTGAGTAGCATCCATCCCCAAAGTAGGTCAATCTTAACGTATCAAAACTTGTTCACTAACTAAATGTTCCAGGTTCTTACTCAGTTGTTACTATTGATGCTTATGTAGGGATAATTGGATAAATGTCCATTTTTTTCACCAAGTACCTATTTTAGCATGTTAGTCGTAATCGTGCACTGATTTGGGAGAAAAATTTCTCCAATGTGGCAGGGCTGGCTTCCCAGCTAGCACGCCTCTCTAAAAAGGAAACTGCTGAATTCAGGGAAATGAGAAGCAAGGAATCTTTTAAAAAAATGACATGCGAAAAAATATATTTTTGGAATATTTGGGAAAGGTTTACCTAGTCTCCTTCCCATAACCAAATGTTCGTTTGTTTTTTTGTTGTGGTGCTTTGTTTTTGTTTTTTTGCTTTTGTTTTTAAAAAAGAGTTTGCAGGGAGTTTGGAGTGGACTAAGATTTTCTGTTAAAGGGATTGGTGCTAAATAAGCAACGTCCTTTTTATAGTTGCTTTAAGTTTTTCAGAGTGTTATCTGGTATGAAAGGGAAATCCTGTGCCTCCTTTTGCAGATTTTCCCCTTGGATGTAAATTGTGTGTTTTTGTGTGTGCGTGTATGTGTGTGTGTGTGTTTAAGGAGAAGATTGCTGCTTATATTTTCTTTCTGTTACTGCTCAAGTTCCACATGTTGTCATTTGAAAAGGAATTGATCTCAATAAAAGAAATCTGTCTCAGTTTCTCACAACCACAATTTAAAGTGTGTATTTATTTATTTATTTATTTTCCTTCCGCAAAACGGCTCTTATTGTCTCTCCAGAATATTATTTGGGCACAAGGTCTGGAAACAATTGAGTTAATATACGGTGGTTTCCAATTTGGCAGAAAGGACAACTGAAACAGGATGTGGTAGACCCTTTCTAAAAGGGTATATTTAAAAAAATGGAAACAGATATATTTCTCCCTTTCCCATCATGCTAAGGAACAGACCCTGCAAGTTGCATAAACTTTATGAGGAAGGGAGTCCCCCAGAGCAAAAAGGGATTTAAAAAGACAACGGTTAAAATTTATCCTGAATCGTGCCAATAAATTTCGTTTTCAGTTCTTTTGGGGTTGGCAAGAACGCACTTCATTGCAAGGCGCAGGACTTTTTATACTTCTAATTTGCAAGGACATTCCCGTTTTCACGTCCTGTAAAGTCCATCAACATCACTAGCAAACCAATGCAACACAATCACTATACTAGTACGTGGAATAAAAACTGAGTAACAGGAGAAATTAGGTAGCACTATTCGGGAGGCTGGTCCTGACAGCAGAATCAATCAGTAGATGCAGCAACACATTTGTGCAAATCGAAGTGTTAGGGCAAGATTGACATGGTCTCTTGGAAGGCTAAAACAGACAAGTCCTGGGACTATCTGCTGTGAATCGACACGGCGATGCATTTGCAAGTGGAAGTAACCAGGAAGTAACCAGCCCATAATGGTATGATTGGCATCAATGTTAAGGAAGATGATAGAGATAGAAACAGACAGACAGACAGACAGATGTCACTTGAGCATTGTGATTCACAAAGGCAAAAGTCCACGTTCCTTAAGGAACCAGCAGTTGGCCTGTCCTGCGTAAATGTAACATGGCTTGTCCAATTTGTATGAGGCAATTTGGGGCACACCCACCAGGAAGCTATGAGATGCCTGCACAGTGAACTTTGCAAGAAATAGTGGCTGAGCTGCGCTTCAGCACTGACCACAAAGTGAACACTTTAAAAGAGAGAGAGGTGCAGATTTCCCCATGTACAAGCTTGAGAGATCAGTTGTCCCTTTGCGGGGTGTGAAGATACGGGGGAAGGAGTTGAAAGGAAGAAGGCAGACCTGCCACTGATGAAGTCATGGGACATGACTTTTGCTGCTCTGTTGAAAAGGAGAAGTCAGCTGCAAGCCCCTGAGGTCGGAAGCGGAGAGGAAACCGATCAGCCATCACCTCAAGATGATGACTTGCGTTCCCCAAGTCTGGGTGCTAGCTCTCCTGTCACTGCGAGGTACGTAACCACCAGAACTTGAATTCAGTGCCCAGAGTTCAGTTCTGGGATATCTCGGTGGCTTCAAGAGAACCAGTATTTGATAGAGGAACTTGCAGCTTTTTAGGATTAGGCTGGGCTCAGCTCCACCTCCTGGATGTTGAGACCAAGCCAACGTTCTCCTTGGTCTGCAGGGAGTAAGGCCAGCTGGGGGTGGTTTAAGGACTGTTCTCAAGGAGGAAGATTCTTTCAAAGAGTGAAATATTTTGGGTCATTGGGTTAGATTACTCATTTTCTCTCTGCCGGGAGCTCTTGGGATGGGGCTGGTCATGATGAGATGAGCTACTCTGAGGGGTCCGTGGTGCTCTCTGAGCTTGATTGTTTTCTTGCAAGACACAACCAAGCTCAGAGAGCACCAAGGACCCTTCCTTTCAACCCTGAGCTGCACATACTCTCTTTTATTGAAGCAACTCTTACTTTATTGTGAGTCTACCTGATCAGAGTCTTGTAAGGCTGAAAGGGCAAATCTTGTTTCCTTTGAAGTCTGAGAAGTTAGGGAGGGTTTCTTCTCAGCTTCTTTCTTTGCCTTTTATGCAGCTGAGGGCTGTACCATCTCTTATCTATCATTGTCTGAAATGGCATGAGCAGGGGGTTGGACTAGAAGACCTCCAAGGTCCCTTCCAACTTTGTTATTCTATTCTATTCTATTCTATTCTATTCTATTCTAGTCTAGTCTAGTCTAGTCTAGTCTAGTCTAGTCTAGTCTAGTCTAGTCTATTCCCTAGGTAGCACCTCCTCACTTTATTTCTCCAGGTCTTTCTCGTACTGCCATCCACCCCTTTGTGAAATTTCATTTCAGATTCTTCATTTGACTCCCCCAAACATTTCTTAGATGAAAATCATTTAATAATAAGTACCGTATATGCCAGCGTATAAGGTGACTTCCGCAAGTGTTAAAATCGGCACCAAAGACGGGGGTCGTCTTATACGCCAAGTCGTCTTATACGCCGGAAATACTGGTAGTTTCCGGCATATAAGATGACGTTCTAGGAATGCGACTCGGCGACAAAGACGGGGGTCGTCTTATACGCCGGGTCGCCTTGTACGCCGACATATACGGTACATTCGCTAGTAGTACTGTGACTAATAATAACCATAACAACCATAATGGATAGTCTCTACTACCCTGGTGGGTCCATATTGACCATTTTGGAGAACCTGGCTAAGGGCAATGTCTGAACTCAACCTGGGAATTCTGACTAATGGCGGGTAGGTGGGAGGATGCTACGCTAAAATGTAATGGAAATGAATGATTCCCCATTTCCCGTTCTCCAACGTCAATCAATCAATCAGAATAGAGCTGGAAAAGAGAGCTTGGAGGTCTTCTAGTCCAACCCCCCCCCCCCGCTCAAGCAGAAGACCCAATTTCAGACAAGTGACTGTCCAGTCTCTTTCTTAAAAACCTCAGTGATGAAGCACTGACAATTTCTGGAGGAAAGCTATTCCACTGATTGTTTAATTAGGAAGTTTCTCTTTAATTCCAGGTTGCTTCTCTCCTTGATGAGTTTCCATCCATTGTTTCTTGTCTTGTCTTTTGGTCCTTTGGAAAATATGTTGACCCTATCCTCCTCTTTGTGGCAGCCCTTCAAATACTGGAATACTGCATCATGTCCCCCCTAGTCCTTCTTTTCTCTACATATTTGGTTCCATTTAAAATACGCATTTACATGTATTTGAACCACGCCTACTGCATTTTTTCACTCTTGGTTTTTCTAACACCTCAAATGGAAAGGAAATGCATAATTGATTCTGAGGCCCGATCTCTGTTAGCGTGTACGTTTCCTTTCGGCCTCATTTCCTAGCCAGTGAACAGACCTGCTAAAAGTTGCGGCAGGAAACAGTGAAACTAAAGAGGAGTCTACAAGAAGACCACAAATGCTGTCTTGGAGCCCCCAGGAGAAAACTTGACAAAGTTTCACTTTGATATGAGTATTTTGGAACATTTTATTCCATCCTATGAACAACAAACACTCCAGCCGCAGTGACGCTTTTCACCGACAAGGTGGAGGAATCAATAAGCTTTGGGAAACTCCAATGTTTATAGAAGTGTGATATTGTTTTAGGTGGGTGAAATGGAACAGAAAGATAGAATGGAAGCAGCCCTTTGGGTGGGTAAATTCAGCATCCACACTAGGCTGGCTCACCCTTGCATTTTGATTTCCTTAGATCTTGGATTGGGGTTTTGTTTTAGCTTAATTGGCAATGCGGCTTTAATTGGGAAGGGTTGAGGGATAAATGGGGCATTTTTAATGTTCTTTTATTGTAAACTGCTTGGAATCTCATGGTCTGGAGGAGAGACTTTTTTTAAAATAAATGACAATGGAGATGCTGCTTGGCATCAAGATTTGGACCTAACCATGATGTGTTTAGGTGTCTTTGGGCAAAGACTGTAGCCTTTTTAAGGAAGCCCATATTTGTTGGTTCGCACAAGGCCTTAAGTCAAGCCAATGTGTAAGATGTGTTAGGGCAGTGTTTCCCAAACCTGACAATTTTAAGGCATGTGGACTTCAACTCCCAGAATTCCACAGCCAGCGTTGCTGGCTGTGGAATTCTGGGAGTTGAAGTCCTCATGCCTTAAAATTGTCAAGTTTGGGAAACACTGTGTTAGGGGAAAATAAGAATTCAGCTGCAATACTGTGTATTTCTATATGTAAAGAGAGAGGGGGGAGGAAGGGAGAGAGGGAGAGGAAGGGAGAGTGAGAGAGAGAGAAAGGGAAAAAGAGAGAGAGGGAGTGAGAAAGAGAGAGGGGGGGAGAGAGATAGAAGACAGAGAGACATACTGGGTCAAAGATATGTTCCCCAAGAGATTGGAAGGATGTAGTAAGTGTGTCAGAGGCGAATGGGAGGGTGTTCTTGTATTTTACTCAAAAGGACCCAAATGCTGGGTCTCCCTGGAGTAACCATTTACAAATCATTTTCTTTGCTAGGGATTTTTTCCCGGGTCCTAACCGAACGCCTCAACTTGCAGGAAGGTCAGAATCTGGATCTCTACTGCGTTAACAACAGAGGCAACACCTCAGCTCTAGAATGGAAGGATCCCCGTGGTTTTGCGATATTTTTCAATGGCTGGCAAGGTAGGATGAAACTGGGGGGCTCAAACAAACTTTTTTCCATCAGAAAGAGACAGAAAGGGGATTTTCCTACTGGCCTTTGAAGTGTAACACGCTGACATAAATCCATTTTCACAACCTGCCTCTTTAAGCCACAAGATCTCCACCCTGTGGTTAGGATGTAGGAATAGGGTAATAATTCTGGTAGTTTAATCATTGCCTCCATGGTTCTTTTTCTTTCTTTTTTTTTAAGAAATACTTAAAAAAAATCCCACTCCACTCTCTTCAACAAGAAAACACTCTGCACGATGTCCAGTTGTGTTGATGTCCAGTTCTGTCCCAGGGAAGCCCGCATTGTTTTTTTTTTTTTTTAATGAAGATATGTATTCATTGTGGGTCCTTGGTGCTCTCTGAGCTTGGTGCTTTTCTGTCAGGTGTTTCAACACCCGAACTAGACAACATCATCAGCGTACTTACAACTCACAACAGTTCATTTAGGGACTGTTTGAAGTTACAAGGACACTGGAAGAAGGGACTTATAACCGTTTTTCACACTTACAACGGTGGCAGCAACCCCCCCCCATGGTCACGTGATCAAAATTCAGACACTTGGCACCTGACTCCTATTTGCGACGGTTTGCAGGGTCCCAGGGTCACGTGATCCCCTTGTGCAACCCTTTGCCAAGCAAAGTTCACGGGGAAACTAGATTTGCTTAACAATCCTGTTAGTAACTTAACAACTGCAGTGATTCATTTAACCATTGTGGCGAGAAAATAGGGCCAAATTCACTTAGCAGCGGTCTTGCTTAGCAGCAGAAAGTTTGGGTTCAATTGTGGTCATAAGTCAAGGGTTAGGGTTAGGGTTAGGGTTTTTTTTCCCCTACATGCCCCTTTTATGGAACGTGAGATCACAACTCTTTCTAAGGCCCTATGATTTCTCTTCTGTGTGGCTCCTCTTGTGGGAATTAAGACAACTGGTATCAGTGAAGTTCTTTCCACGCTCCGTACGTTGATATGGTTTCTCTCCTGTCTGGATCTTTTTATGGACAGCCAGATTTTGACTCCTCCTAAACCTCTTCCCACACTCACTAGACTGATATACAGGGATAGAATACAGGGATAGAATCAAGATTGTGTGAAGTGTTAATGTCATTTTACAATGCCTTGGTAAGGCCACATTTGGAATACGGCATCCAGTTTTGGTCACCACGATGCGAAAAAGATGCTGAGACTCTAGAAAGAGTGCAGAGAAGAGCAGCAAAGATGATTAGGGGACCGGAGGCTAAAACATATAAAGAACGGTTGCTGGAATTGGGTATGTCTAGTTTAATGAAGAGAAAGACGAGGGGGGATGTGATAGCAGTGTTCCAATATCTCAGGGGCTGCCCCAAAGAAGAGGGAGTCAAGCTATTTTCCACAGCACCTGAAGGCAGGACAAGAAGCAATGGACAGGAACTAATCAAAGAGAGAAGCAACCTAGAACTAAGGAGAAATTTCTTGACAGTTAGAACAATTAATCAGTGGAACAACCTGCCTCCAGAAGCTGTGAATGCTCCAACACTGGAAGTTTTTAAGAAGAGACTGGACAGCCATTTGTCTGAAATGGTATAGGCTTTCCTACCTGAGCAGGGGATGGACTAGATGACCTCCAAGATCCCTTCCAACTTTATTAGTATTATTATTATATAACTTCTCTGTGTGACTCCTCTTGTGGGGATTAAGATTACTGCTAGGAATAAAGGTCTTCCCACACGCCATGCATTGATACGGCTTCTCTCCTGTGTGGATCCTATTATGGGAGGCAAGATTCCTACTGTTCCTAAAACCCTTTCCACACTCCATGCATTGAGATGGTTCCTCTCCTGTGTTGATCCTCTTGTGGAAATTAAGACTATTGCTCCAAGTAAAGGTCTTTCCACACTCTATGCATTTATAAGGTCTTGCCTTGCCTGGTTAACAAATCCAGTCCCATGTTTAGGTTTACCCCTTCATATTGAGACAGAACCAATTCGCTACTCAGAAGAATGAGTTTTCGGAAAATTCTGATCCATATATCCATATCTCTCTCTTTCAAACAGTCACAAGAGATGGAAGGTATGAACTTCTGCGTTACTCCAACGATTCACTGTCCATCCGTCTTTCCAATATAACAAGACACGATGAGGGGCTGTTCACATGTCTTTACTACAGCGACACCATTGGAAGCAAACTAGTGAGCGTTACAGTTTGGGGTAAGAGCTGAAACTCCTGCCTTTCAACGGATGATGGCTTGTGGAGATGGTAGGATAGCTTTGAGACAAACCATGACTTAACAATTGTGGCAAGAAAGCTCATAAAATGGGGCAAAGTTCACTTAACTGTCTCACTTAGCAACAGAAATTTTGGGCTCATTAAGTCTAGGAATATCCGTTATCTTATAGTTAATTTGTTTATATCTCCCTTCCAAATACGTGGTGGGGTAATCCTATCCCCATCCTGTTCAACTCAAATAAAATTCCAATAGGAAGACTATAACCTAATGAATTCTTCTTTTTATAGCTCCACCTTCCAAACCTTTATTGGAAGTTTTGAGGACCCCAGAAAAACACACAGAAGAAAATCTTGTCTTAAGGTGTTCCACTGATGACAGCTGGCCTGCTCCTCAGATCACCTGGCTGCTACAGAACGGAGTGGAGATCTTTGGTATGTTTCAAATAACTTTATTTTTCTTTCTGGACTAGCCTTTGCCTCTTCATAGCCTTTCTTAAATAACACTGAAAAATGCTAAGCAATTACCTGCATTAAAATCAAATTGTTCCTTTATTTAATTACATGTAGGGTCCATTGTGTTAGCAGTGAACTCGGTTTATCATCAGCATTCCACAAAAAAAACATTGAACATTTAAGCATTTAAAAAAAAAAATGTTCTTCTATACAAACCTGAGGCATTACTATTAGGAATACTAGAGAAAAATGTAAAATAAAGAGGACACATATTTAATTATTCACGTGGTTACGGCGGCAAGGATACTATTTGCTCAAAAGTGGAAAGCAATGGAAGTACCGAGTGAGGAAGTACTAATAAAGAAAATTATGTATTGCGCAGAACTAGATAGGATAACTAAAAATTAAAAAATCAGGAAGAAACAGAATTTTATCGAATATGGAATAAATTTTATAGTTGGAGGGAAAAAAATGGAGGTCACAAATAAAGAGGTAAGTTAAGATAGAGACCAGAAATGTATAGTTTATATATAGATATATTATATGTAATTAATGTACAATATGGACTGAGATGTCAGTCAAAGACGATTTACCATGTTCAATGTTTTTAATCCTTTTTTTTCTTTGTACTCAACAAAAACTTTAAAAAAAAATATGTTCCAGATGTTTTGGGATTGCACCAAATTACTATCAGTATAATCTGTGCTTTCTTTTGCCCTTGTCATTCTACTTCTATTTGCTGGTCTTTATATCTAGTGATTTTATCTAGTTCTTTCTCTTCTCTTCTGCTGCCTCCAGGCACTGCCACATCCACTATGCAGACTTTTTAGTCTTGCTTATGATATTATTATTTTGTTATGATGATGATTATTATCTCTTCTTGCATTCCAAAATGCATTTTAGGAAATGCTCAACACCAACTGGAAGCCAAGAGGTTCTGTTCCATAAGCAACTTGACTATCTATGCATTCCCCCAGGGCTCTATCATTTCTTGTGTGATACACCACAAAGCCCTAGGAAGAAGAAATTTAACTGTGACTTTGCACCTAGACCATGCCAGTAAGTGGAGAGCTTCAGGGCAGGAGGGAAAACATGTTTAAAAAAATAAACAGAATAAATAAGACCCTCTTAGGAATTACACAACCATTTTCACGGGCAGCACGCCTTATGGGAAACTTTGCCAACCCTTGTAACTTTTGCACTACTAACATGAGAGATGATAGTTGTAAGTAAAGGACTACTTGTAGACAGTTTCATTAGATGACCCACATCTGGGCAAGATCCCTCCTCCATTCGAAGCATGACTGCTTTTAGATCTTGCCCTGATCAGAGAATCAAACTAGATGATCTCTAAGATCCCTTCCAAACCTGTGATTCTGCAATAGACATATACATATATTTCATCAGCCCTGTTTAGTATAGACAATGGTCGAGAATAATGGATTCTAGAAGGCCACATTATCCAGAAGGCCATATCGGACCTAAATGGATCTTCAAATCTAGTAGGACTCTCATGTTCTGACCTTTATATATCTTATGCCTGGGCATTAATAGTTTTCCTTGTTTCCTTTTTCACACATTCAGAACAAAAACAGAAGACAGAAGAAACATTTAGCATTCCAACATTGTCCCCAACCAGGGAAGCAGAAACTCAAAGTTCTAATGCCATCAACGGTAAGATTATGACACTGATCCTCTGTTATTTCTGGGCATCACCCTCAACTTACTTCCAGCTCTTCTCCATAACATCAATTTCATTTCTCCTGCCCTTTCCATGACCTTATTTTTCATCACGTCAACAGAATCCAATCCAATATTCAACATGACAGAAGGAAACCCAACCACACAAACACCATTCCCAAGTAATCCAATATTCAACATGACAGAAGGAAACCCAACCACACAAACATCATACAGAGGTTTGGGCAATCCATCATACATTGCTTCCACATTACTCCTCATGTTCAACTGATATGCTTTTAATACTTTGCTCTGCTTCCTGATCTGATGCCAAAGGCTTGTTGACACAGAACTTCCGAGCAGAAGAGATGGCTTAGGTTAGGGAAGATGATAAAGGAATGTAGTTGGTGCAGGTCCAAAACTTTTTCATTTCAGAGTATTCGTTTAAAAGATGTACCCTTTTTGTGTTTCTCTATTCAACTTCCTGGAATTAAGTGCCTTAACTGTATATGGGCATGGGACTGTTTAAAAATTGAGATAAATAGGTTTATAGTCTTCCTTGGCTAGCTGTGCTCAGTACACTAAGCTATAAATCATAATTTGGATTCAGACACTTAGCCAAAGCAAAACTAATGACATTCCAGGTGGGTTCATATTGTTCTTATTAATTGGTTTCGAATGATGTTTCTATAGAACTTACTCTGAGCAGGGGGTTGGATTAGATGACCTTCAAGACCCCTTGAAAACTATACAACTCTATGTATAGTCCCGAACTTTCTGGGAAATAGCAAGTTGGAGAATGCTGGTGTGGTGGACCCAGACATTTTACTCCATGGAAGCTCAGAGGGTGGAGTAACACAATTTCCCATCTCTGCAAACCCCAATATTTTTCTGCTAGGAAATAGAAGCTAAAGATGACAAAACTCAAATGTTTTCTGTCTCTTTTTTCCCAAAACAGAAACAAACATGACTTACAAAGGCTTTATGGAGGGACAAGCCATCTTTTTATTCCCGGGCCTTGTGTCTATGCTCCTTCTCGCTCTCTTCATCGTGGTCTTTCTCTTTGTGGTGAAGCTGTGGAAAGCACATAGGGACTGGAAAAAAGGTAACGGGGGGGGGGGAGAAGAAAAATGTAATGCACATTGGAACAGTTTCCTCTTCCGCCCACATGCCCCGAAGTTTCTAAAACCTGTATTCAGCACCCACAAAATGTCTTGTGGTGCTTCAAGATCCCGAAAAGCACTCTTAAAGGGAAATGATCCTCAACCTCTTCAGAGAACAGTTGACCTTCTCTGCCAGTGACTGATTTCACGTTCCTGAATTTGTGTAGCAGAATTTAAAACTTCCAGTGAGCTTGTTCGCAAGTGCCAGTCAGATTTAAGCCAGTATTAAGCCTAGAATTAGGAAAAAGCTTTCACCTGAGAATTGGGATGTCTGACTCAAGAACGCCTTGGAGGTAGGACAGTCATTATGCCCACTTACTTGAGTGTAAGGCCCCACTGCAATTAATGAGACTCCTGCCAAATAAACATGGAACGTTAAACAGGTAGTCCTCAACTTATGACCTTAATTGAACCCAGAATTAGTTGTTGCAGTCCTAACTGGGGGGCATCACCTGACTTTGTTTGTTTTTTTACTATTTTTGCGGTGCTTGTCAACAAATGCCACAGTTGCTAAGCAAGCACAGGGGGTCAGTCAGCAAATCCATTTTACCCAACGGCTGCTTTGTGCTGGAAACCGGATGTAAACACAGGTACCTGGCCCAAAAAAAAAAAAAGACAGAAATTCCAGTCACGTGACCACAGGATGCTTCAAGCAGCCGTAAAGGTGAGCTGTTGCAAGTGCCCCAACATGTGATCACGTGACTGTGTGTGCGTGTGCATGTCTGGGGATAGTATAACTCCCAAAACAAGTCATAGGTAGATTTGGAGGAGCCGTCACAACTTTGAATAGTCATTAAGTGACCGGTCATAAGTCAAGAACTACCAGTAGATATGTGGCCTAAGTCTGCCTTGTCACAACAGATATCTGGACTAATACTCTGCACCTCATTGTTGTCTCTCTGTTATATAGAAAATAATCCTTCTGAACAAACCATTGAGAGTTTCAGGCCTAAAGCAAACGAAGCCCCTTGCAGACTCAAAAAGAATATATGCAGTAAGTATAAATGAGATTTCTTTGGGTTTTCAGGCAGGGCAGAGGCTGGAATTAAGAAAAGCAGGTGTTCCATGGCTGGTTTTTTACCAGCTGTTTTCAGGCTGAAATGTGAGCTAGTATCAGAGCTAAACAGAAATGAGCTGGAAGTAGCACTGACCAATGCCGTTATTTTATGCAGCAATCCCTTGGAGGATCAATGAGAAGTATGTAATTCAAGAATCGTCTACCCGGACACCAAAACCTTCAGAAGAAAGTCAGGATTCTTCAGTCTTTGAAAAAGAGTTCTCCCACTTTAAAGAAACGGATCTATAACACTAGGAACAATCTTGCACTGTCTTTAACAGCAAGAACCATCTTCTCTTCCATTTTTTTCTTCCTGCGCTGCGCCATTCTGCAAAACTCTCTTCAAAAATCCAGATTTTGGAGAGGATTTCAGATGAGAACAATATTGCAAATAAAGTGATAACCGTACTATAAAGGCCCTTGAGAACTTGTGTCAGTTGTTATTTAGCCATTAAATTCCTAGTGTTGACTTAATGATTTCGGGATATACAAAGTTATTTTATTATATTACTCCAAGAAATCTTTTAAAACTTCCCTAAAAGGAAGGTTAGGATGATAGCCCCCCCACACTGCAACCTCTTTGGTTTTGTTCAACATCCGTTACAAGCACACAGTATAGTACGGTATCCATTTGCCAAATATTCTAGCGTGGATTATCCCCACAATGGGATTTCCCCATGTACTTTACTAGGAAAGTAGATAGGCCAGGCTCGAAGAGTGAGCACCCTCCTAAACATACCCTTTCGCTCTGAATCCATTGGTGAGATCCATTTTCCTCTCTGAATTCATGGGGACCTAACCCTAACCCTAGCACATCCAAGCAGCAGAAATCAAGATAACCAGGAGAGGGCAGCAGTTTTGGGATAAAATCTCCCCCTACTGGTCATGTGGAGGTTTGCAACCTATCTTATATTAATTGGAGCTTAATTTCCATCAAACACAGTTCCTTTGTGGAAAAAGAATTCGCTTCAAATGTGCCAAAGTGAACAAAGAAGGCCTGTCATAAGAAAGGCCGTTTGTAGATTTGATTTAAAAAATTATCAGAAATAGCATTGTTGATTAAATTGCCCTGTGAAATCTCTCCCTCCCTCCCTTACTTACCTTCCTTCCTTTCCTTCCTCATGCTCTATTCCTTCCTTTCTTCCTTCCTTCCTAAAATATTTGTAGTTCAGGGTCTCTCTGAGCTTGGTTGTTTTCTTGCAGACGTTTCATTACCAAACTGAATAACATCATCAGTCTTTCCTTCCTTCCTTCCTTCCTTCCTTCCTTCCTTCCTTCCTTCCTTCCTCTTGCTCTATTCCTTCCTTCCTTCCCTCCCTCCTTCCTTCCTCATGCTCTAGTCTATATCTTCCTTCCCTCCCTCCTTCTTTCCTTCCTCTTGCTCTATTCCTTCCCTCCCTCCCTCCCTCCTTCCTTCCTCATGCTCTATTCCTTCCTTCCTTTCTTCCTTCCTTCCTCTTGCTCTATTCCTTCCTTCCCTCCCTCCTTCTTTCCTCATGCTCTAGTCTATACCTTCCTTCCCTCCCTCCTTCTTTCCTTCCTCTTGCTCTATTCCTTCCCTCCCTCCCTCCTTCCTTCCTCATGCTCTAGTCTATACCTTCCTTCCCTCCCTCCTTCTTTCCTTCCTCTTGCTCTATTCCTTCCCTCCCTCCCTCCCTCCTTCCTTCCTCATGCTCTATTCCTTCCTTCCTTTCTTCCTTCCTTCCTTCCTCTTGCTCTATTCCTTCCTTCCTTCCCTCCCTCCTTCCTTCCTCATGCTCTAGTCTATACCTTCCTTCCCTCCCTCCTTCTTTCCTTCCTCTTGCTCTATTCCTTCCCTCCCTCCCTCCCTCCTTCCTTCCTCATGCTCTATTCCTTCCCTCCCTCCCTCCCTCCTTCCTTCCTCTTGCTCTATTCCTTCCCTCCCTCCCTCCTTCCTTCCTCATGCTCTATTCCTTCCTTCCTTCCTTCCTTATGTTCTATTCCTGCCTTCCTTCCTTCCCCCACCCTCCCTCCTTTTACCTTCTCCCTCCCTCCCTCCTTCTCTTTCTTCGCTTTCTCCTCCCTCCCTCTTCATAAATTTAGAAAGCCGCCAAACTGTTTTAATCTTAAACCTTTGGTTTAAAAAAGCAAAGCAAAAAAAAAAAGCAAACAGACTTGGACGATACCATTCTCCTGGCGCCCAAGGCGGAAGCTGAAGAACGCTGCCTCCCTCTCCCCCTTCTCTTGCGGACAGTTGGTTCGGGCCGAGCAGGGGCGGCGCGGCGTGTGCATCTGGATACCGTTGCTAGGAGGGCGCCACGCCGGTGGCTTAGCGGGGGCTGCGGAAGCTCCCTCTGTGAATAGCCCGCAGCGCTGCGCCTGGTGGAAGGTACTCAGGGGGGCGAAGCGGGGGGGGCGCCCCCGAGATGGCCAGGGCTTGGTCTGCGGGGGCATGGGGGGGGGTGGCTGGCTGGGAAGGAGGGATGCAAGCCGCGTCCCGCGCCCTGAAGAATGGCGTGGTTCAACAGGGGCAGCTGGACTCTGCTTCCCCTGTTGGATTTCAGCCTGCAGGGGCCAAGATCCCTTGCTGTGCACCTTTTGCAAAAGGAGCCCCAAAGGGAATGCCTTTGCAAAGGAGTCTCAGATCAAGGCTTGCACTCTTCCACCTGCCTTTCTTTGCAACATTGACGGGGTGGACACTTACACATCTGGGGGTAAGAGAGATTTCTTGCAAAGGCTGGAAAAAGCATTTTTATTCTTTTTTTTTCCTCCTCCTCCCCTGGGTGCCCCCACAGATGCAATGCCGGATTTCTGCCCATGTTGCGAAAAGGTGACATCCTGGGAGAGTGCAGATACAAAGAGTTAAACCCGTAGCCCAAATTCGACAATTCTGCATCTTGTAAGCGCAAAGCAAGCCATCGCCGCTCGCCATTTCCTGGTCTGTAAGAGGAACGATACAGGTGATCCTCGACTTACAACAGCCCTTTTAGTGACCGTTCAAAGTTACAATGGCACTGAAAAACGGGACTTATGGCCGTGTTTCACAGTTATGACCTTTGCAGCATCCCCATGGTCATGGGATCAAAATTCAGACGCTGAGCAATTGACTCATAGTTATGACCGTTGCTGTGTCCCAGGGGTCACGTGATCCCCTTTTGCGACTTTCTGACAAGCAACGTCCATGGAGGAAGCCAGATTCACTTAACAACCCGGTTACTAACTTATCAAACTGCAGGGATTCACTTGGCGAGAAAGGTCGTCAAATAGGCAAAACCCACTTGACAAATGTCTCACTTAGCAACAGAAATGTTGGGCTCAATTGTGTCGTATGTCGAGGACTACCTGTATTGGGATGGAGAAAGAAGGTTGTGCAGAAGGATACACGTTCACACCCACACAAAACCCACACAAACTGCAGTTGTGCCCTGGAAGGCATGATGATAAACTTATCAGGAAGCATATCGCTGAGTTAATTATTTGATTGAAAGATTGATTGATTAGGTATTCATCAATGAGGTATTTCATTATTATTTGATTATTGACTAGGTATTGACCCACAACAGTTGTTTTATTATTATTTAATTAATTGATTAGTTATGAACCATAACATTTGTTTAATTATTATTTGATTTTATTGACCCATGACAGTTATTTAAATATTATTTGACTGATTAAATATTCACCCATAATAGTTATTTAGTTGTTATTGGATGGATGGATAAATGGACTCGTTCATTCATTCAGTCAATCAATCAATCAATCAATCAGTTTATATAACTGCCTCACCTCACCTCTCTGACCCTATTACAGTGGTTCTCAACCTGTGGGTCGGGACCCCATTTGGGGTCGAACGACCATTTCACGGGGGTCGCCAAACAACGCAGTCCCCCATTTTTTTCCCCTTTTCCTTAGCTGTGCTACTCCCTTTTATTCTATTGGCTTTTGAAAGCCAATAGAATAGACTCTCTTGAATAGAGTCTAATTCTATTGGCCTTCAAAACCCTATAGGAATTGTCCAGGCTGTCTCTGCCCTGCTGAGCCCGCCAAAAGTTCCATTCTGCAAATGGTTGAGTAGTCCTCAACTTACGACCGGTTGGGGGTTGCGGCATTAAAAAGGTTGAGAACCACTGCCCTATTAGATTTCTCCAGGATCCGTTCATCTTTTACACTTTCAGAAGAAATGCAGAATACATTTTAAACTCCACAGCCCTTCAAAAGCCAGAATTTTGGCATTCGGAAGGTTTGTCAATTTTTCAAGTGTCTAATATTTTGATATTTACTCTCAGGGCGCATACAGTGAAAACCACCCAAGAATTAAAGGCGAGAACTTATTGGAAGCAATTCTTAAAATACAACTTTAAAACTAGGGCGGATAACCTTCAGGTTTGACCTTTTTTGGGAGGGGGGAACATGAACATCAACAGCCCATCACCGAAAGGCTTGACCGAAGCACACCGACGCTACTCTTTCTTGCAAACTGCCTCAGAAGGACTGGACCAGAACGAATCGGATTCGGAAAGCCTTGTTGAGGAGACCCAGTACCAATGGGAATTGCAGAGACGGATCTGTGAAACTCAAGAACGAGTCAGTTGGGCCTATGAAGAAGAGGCAGATGACCGCATGGAGAAGGACAGTCTGGAAGACATGTGCCTGAGCGAAGAAGAGTCCCATGGAGAGGAAACACAGAGGCCAAGCGAGGACCAGGATGAAAGAAGAAATCCGGAAAATGAAAGGTAAATAAGGCCCTTTCTAACATCCGGTGAAGTTGGGTTTTTCCGTTCCGTAGAATAAATCTCTGAGCCCACCATCTGAAGGTAGCTCTGTTGGGTTCCGACAAAGCAGTGTCCCTCCTGTGTTTTTTTTTCTCTCTCTCTTTTTGGGCTGATTGCCCCATCCATAGGACTACAAATAGTCCTCAAGTTTGTTTAGTGACTGTTCAAAGTTACAACGGCATTGGAAAAAGTGACTTACAGCTGTTTCCCACACTTAACAACCATTGCAGCATCCCTCACGGTCACGTGATCAAAATCCAGAATGCTTGGCAACTGACTCGTATTTATGTCAGTTGCCCTGTCCCGAAGTCAAGCAATCCCCTTTTTTGCGACCGATTTAACTATTGCCGAGCTTTGAAACTGGCTTTAAAACGGCTCATACAGGCGGTCCTCGGCTTACAACAGTTCATTTAGTGACCGTTCAAAGTTACAGTGAAAAAAAGGGACTTAGGACCGTTTTTCAGAGTTATGACCTCCGAAGGCTCCCCAGGATCGCCTGATCAAAATTCAGACATTTGGCCACCGGTTCATCCTTACGACCGTTGCTGTGTGTCCCAAGGCGTGGGATCCCCTTTTGCGACCTTTTGACAAGCAAAGTCAATGCGGGAGGCCAGGTTCACTTAATGACCGGGCTACTAAGTTAACAACTGCAGGAATTCACTTCGCGAGAAAGGTCGTAAAACGGGGCAAAACCCACTTAACAACTCTCTTGCATAGCAAGATAACTGTTGGTCTCAACTGTAGTGAGACCTCTTTTGCACTGGCTGGTTCTTCTATTGGGGAAGGCAGAATTGACAGTCTGTTTTTATTCCAAAGAATCATGATTAGCCCTAGGATTTTAAGATCTGTCCTGAGCTATTTTCTTTCCCTCTTCTTCTTCTCCCTTTTTCTTCTCTCTCTCTTTTCAGTGAAAGCTTCGGAAGCAAGGACTGCCATGCTGCTGGTGTTTGAGATCTACCCTTGGAGGCTTAGCAATTTGTGTGTGAGTGAGTGTGTGTGTGTGTGTATGTGTGTAATACAAGTAGTTCTCGTTCAGTGACTGGCTTGTTTTGCGACTGTTTGCAGCGATAAAAGTGATGAAAAAAAAAGTGGCTGTATGATCAATCCTCACCTTTACAACCTTCGCAAGCCTGCAAAGCAAAGGAAAGCTGAGGTCATATCATAAGCCTAGTCATGACGTTCACTTACTGATCGCTTTGCTTAAGGACCGAGTTGCTGGTCACTAAACAAGAACTGGCTGTAATTTTAAATGCTGACAGGAGTGGATTGCTACAGACAGCTATTGACCCTCGACTCTCCTTTTTCCTAAGCCAGTTGTCCATTTCAGGCAGATAAAACCCACTTGGCTACTTCTGAACTTTCGCAACATGGTTTTACTGAGCTGTGTTTTACTTCACCGATTTGTATGTTTCCCTTATATTTAATCCTGCTTTTGTATTGATGTTATTCTCTGTTTTTCATCATTTGCCAGTCTCATAGAAGAGCATTTTTTTCATCCTCTAGTTGAAAAAAAAAATGCAAATAATCATTTTAGAAGCAGTTAGCTGAATAAATGGCAAGTTAATGGCTATAAATTTCACTGATTTCAAATAACATACAGAGGGCTGCCATGTTCAAGAGATCTTAGACTGTATCACTCTGGAAAAGATGATTATTTTGAAGGATTTGTGGGGGGGGGAAAGCACCAATGGACCGGTTGTCTCTTTTTTATTCAATAACTGCCTAAGTGCAAAATTAAAACATTCCTCACTTGTTCCAAGAGCCGCATTAACTTTCCTCTTCTGTGCAAATAGAAAATTGGATTTGTTCTGCTCATTGGAGCGTTAATGCCACATAAATGCCAAATAATGGCGGTTTTCAAAGGATTAAATTAAGCCCGAATTGAAAAATGATAAACATGTTCTATTTAATGCCGTGCTTGGAGACAAACATCGCAAAGAGAGAAAAGGGGACTCATTATGAACAGCACGCTTCCCATATGCCTCTCCGGTGGGCAGAGTGGGAAGCTATTGAATGGTTTTTATCGCAAGCAGGAAAGGATGCTAATTGTTTGAAGAGCAGGGCCTGCCTTGGGTAGTGCGGGCAGGAAGGATCCTGATCTTGCCTTTCAGGGAAAATTTAATTTGATGCGTTTCCAAATTAGCGCACTGCTAATTCAGATGGAGTCCATTAAGGCTAACTTGTCTAATGTATTATCTGTCTGTCTGTCTGTCTGTCTATCTATTTATCTATCTATCTATCTATTTATCCTATCTCTTTGTATCTATCTAGCTATCTAGCTATCTAATCTATCTCTTTGTATCTATGTATCTATCTATCTATCTATGTATCTATCTATCTATCTATCTATCTATCTATCTATCTATCTATCTAATCCAGACATGTCAAACTCGTGACGTCACGTGACATCGTGCAACATATTGGGACGGTTTCACCATTGTGAAATGGGGTGTGCATGGCTTCCGGTGACACGTCTGGCCGGCAGTTTGACACCCCTGATCTATCTACCTACCTACGTACCTACCTACCTATTTATCTATCTATCTATCTATCTATCTATCCATCCATCCATCTATCTATCTATCATCAATCTAATCTATCTATCTATTTATCTATCTATCTATCTATCTATCTATCTATCTATCTATCTATCTATCTATCTATCTATCTATCTATCTATCTATCTATCTACCTATCTTTTACTGGCCGCCCATCTTACCGCAGGGTAATGTACTTGTGATATCCACACTCACTAGCAACTTCAGAAAAGGAACCAGTCGTCCTTTTTTATACAGGTAGCCCTCAACTTACAACAGTTCCTTTAGTGACTGTTCAAAGTTACAACGGCATTGAGCAATGTGACTTATCACCATTTTTCACAGTTACGACCTTTGCAGCCTCCCCACGATCATGTGATCAAAATTCGGCCGCTTGTCAACCGGTTCACATTTATGACCCGGCTCACATTTGTGTCCCAAGGTCAGGTGATCACCTTCTGCCACCTTCTGCCAAGCAAAGTCCATGGGTTACTGGGTGCCGTGCGCCCAAATGTTGATCCCATGACCGCGGGGATGTTGTGACGGTTCTAAGGGGGAGGAAGTGCAGAACTGTACAGGTAGTCCTTGACCTACAACCATTTGTTTTTAGTGACAGTTCGAATGCAGCTTTTGACCGGTCCTCATACTTATGACCATCACGGCATCCCCATAGACATATGATCAGAATTCAGGAGCTTGTGAAGCAGATGGTTGCAGCATCTCCCGGGCTCCTGTGTTCACCATTTGCAGCTTTCCCAGCCAGCTTCCGACAAGGAAAGTCAATGGCGGGAGCCAGTTTCGCTTAATGACCACACTGTTCATTTAACAACTGCAAGGATTCGCTTAACAAGCATGGTTTAAAAAAAAAATGGGTGGTTAGAAATCAGCCGTGACTCTCTTCACAACCAGCCTTGCTTAGCCATGGAAATTCCAATCCCAATTGTGGCCGTAAACTGAGGACTGGCGATAAAAGTGCATTCTGATCAGGACAAACAAAATATCGCCCTTTCGCCTCCCTTGAGGAAGCACCTTTCAATCTCTCCTATGGAATGATGAATTAATATATTGTTTATTTATTAAATTTGTTTGCTGCCCAGCTTACCGCAAGGCAACTACGGGCGGCTCCCCACCTGAATTATTCTGGGACAATTCATAAAGACGATTGAGATTTCGAAAGTCGTTAAAAACCGTGGCCCTCTTGGCTTCACTTTTAAATTTCTTTCTTCGCCCCTTGCTTTGTGTTTAGCTCTTGGGACAGCATCGTGGACGAGTATTCCGAGCTGCGCTATGATCCCAATTGGAAAGACAGTCAAAAAGGGAAAAGCTTTCTCCAATTAGAAGACTCCCATCAGGAGGAACTCAGAAACTTCAGCGTGACCTCCCTTGACCTGGCCTGCTCTCCTTCCCAGGGCCGGGTCCTCTCCGAAAACTGCCAGGGAAGTCCTCCAAATATCTCCTCAGCAACTGATGGAGAATTTTGGAAGCCTTCTGGTGACAAACCTGGAGACGGCAGAGACAGGCCTTTCCAGCTAGATAAGAAAGGAAGAAAAACAGGCGTTCTCTACCATTATGGCAGCAATGACAGTTTGGCCAGCTCCGGCTGCAGGGTTCGTTTCAAAGAACCCAAACCCAGACCTGAAAAAGACTTCATTGAGAAAAACAAACACACGCTGGGATTAGCCACCCAGCAGAACAGTTCCTACCTTCGGCTCCATGGCAAAAAGCAGAGAGGAGGGTGTCAAGAGAAGATAATTGTGGTAAGGTTGTTTTAATTAGAAAAATGGAACGGGGAACGGGCATCCTCCTGCAAAGCAGAGCATTAACGTCCTTTTGTTGACCAGAATGCTTCTGGGTCCTGTAGACTTGAAAATTAAAAACAAAAAAGGGGGAGGTGGCTATTACATAGGACTTTTTTAGATTTTTCTCTTAAAAAAATCTTCAAAGTCAAAAATTAAATTTAAGTCCTGGAGCACTGGGAGAGGGAGGGTCTTAGAAGTCAAGAAGTGGGGAAGATTCTCCCTGTTTGCTTTATCATAAATGGGTGTTTTGGTAGGGGATCCGTTTGCAAACGTTCACAGCAAGCTTTCCAGTTTTCAGACCTACTATCCAGGTAAAAGAGGTGACCTAGTCTGCTTCACAGTATCATCTCACCTGTTAGTCTTCCTTCTTGCCTAAGGAGTCTGAGATGAAGCCAGGGGTGTTGTGCTGTTGAATAGGTATTCTTTTTTAATGCTGGTAAAAATAAAATCACAGTAAGTACTGAGCAGGCTGGAATGTATGGTTCAAGGGAAGCTGGCCATTTCTTCCCCCAACTTAAGATTCCAAAAATCTTGTTTATGTTGAGAGTACGTGGTAGGTATACTCACATAAAGGCTTCCTTTGAGAGGTCTTTCTTAGTAACAAACTAGAAAAAAGAAAGCGGGAGGGAGGAAGGAAGGAAGGAAAAGAAAGAAAAGAAAAAAAAGGAAAGAAAAAAGAGAAAGAGAAAAAAGAAAGAAAAAAGAAAAAGAAAAAAGAAAGAAAGGGAAGGAAGGAAAAAGAAAAAGAAGAAAGAAAAAGAAAGAAAGAAAGAAAGAAAGAAAGAAAGAAAGAAAGAAAGAAAGAAAGAAAGAAAGAAAGAAAGAAAGAAAGAAAAAGAAAGATAGCAGTTTAGATTGGGCTGGGAAGCCTTGCCTGTGGGTGTGATCCAAGGTATCTCTTGGATTTAAGAGGAAAAAGAAAGAAAGAAGAGAGAGAGAGAGAAAGAGAAAGAAAAAGAAAGAAAGAAAGAAAGAAAGAAAGAAAGAAAGAAAGAAAGAAAGAAAGAAAGACAACAGTTTAGATTGGGCTGGGAAGCCTTGCCTGTGAGTGCAATCCAAGGTATCTCTTGGATTTAAGAGGAAAAAGAAAGAAGAAAGAGAGAGAGAGAGAAAGAAAAGAAAGAAAGAAAGAAAGAAAGAAAGAAAGAAAGAAAGAAAGAAAGAAAGAAAGGACTGCTGTATGGCTAAAATGATTAGGAGGGAGCGAGGGACGAAGAAAGGGAGGAATGAAGTCTTGAGTTTCTTATACAGTAATAAAGGCAGGATAAAAATATAATATGTTATTGCCACCCAGAGTCACTTTATAGGGAAGATGGATGGCACACAAATTTAATGAAGAAAGAAATAAAATAATATATAAATAAATACATCACTTAGTCAGGCTGCCCTTTCCCTACCCACCCACCCCCTCTCCTATATTTCAGTTTGTTGCCTTTGGCTAGCCATTTTCCTTCCACCCAAAAGGGGACCATAGAGACCCTCTGTTTTTCATTTCCCAGAATGGTTTGGGAACCTCTGTGAGGCCAGGGGCATTTGGGGGAAACCAGGACCTGATAACAAGTTGGTGTCTTGAAACCTTCTGGCTTTCCGTGGATTTATTGAAAAATAAAATAAAATCAGAGGGGCGGATAAAGCCAGGTGGGGTTGAGACTTGAGATACTGCTGAGCACCTTGGCGCCCGCGATCACCGCGTTGCCGACTTCTGCCCGAAGACAAGACGCCCTCAAAACATAACTCTGCGCTGCACAAAAAGCATCGCTCGGCTAAAGCATCTTCCGGCCTTTCGGGAAAAGCCTTCTATTAGCGCTCTCCATTATGACGGCTACGGCCCCGTCCTTAAATGGGTGCACACCTGCGCTAGGCAGTCTAAACCTGGTTGGAAGCGAAACGTCCCCTTAATTCCCGTCGCATTTTTCTCAAGCACCGACTTCTTTTGGGCAGGATTGCGTGATTATGAATCCGAGGACGGCGGTGATGATGATGATGATGATGATGATGATGAGTTTCTTTGAGAGAGGAGCTGGCTCCGACTCACTCAGCTGCGCTCTGACCCAGTTGCTTTCCTTCTAAAACCCCCTATCCCCTTTACTTCAAAGCCAGAAACATAATGTACAATTTTTTAATGGCTCTAGACTAAGGCACTCAGGGTTTCTCGGCCACTGCGCCTTACTTCCGTGTAAACACCTCATCAAGATTGCCCGGGCTTCCACAATAGCAGCCAAATGCAATTCAAGAACCCGGAGCCTTTGAAGTTCCCTTCCAGAGGCCGGTTTGCTGATCCGGGATAATGACATCTCATGATTGCCAGCCTTTGTTGTGTGTCTTTTTTTCCAGCGGGGAAGCAATTACGGGCCTCAATTTAATAGAAGAGACATTACACAGCTTACGATGCTCAAAATGCAATTTCATTTGATCATTTTCTCAATTTGATTGGCATTAGTAGAACAGTTTTTTGGGGGGGGGAAACAAAATTGCGGGTCGAAGTTGTGCCCCTGTCTTCTTTTCAAAGAGCTAATGCAGAAGTACAGTATGCTCTACCTGCTGGGCCCACAATGGCTGAGTTGCGCAAGAAGCCCAAACATGTTTTGTTTTGTTTTTTTCTCTCCTCCCCCTAACTGTAAACCTCTCCTGGAAAAGTTCAAATCTTCTTCCCAGTTTTTGCTTTCCTCTGTGTTGCAACTGACTGGCTCAGTTGTTAATTAATATTTGGATCAATGCAACTCGACGGGAGGGTTGTTTCTAGGCCTGTACAAGCACTCAAAGTTGCAGTGTTGGATTTTGCTTGGTTTCATATTTGGAAAGAGTGCCATGGGCATATCATTGTCCATTTCAGCTCATCTAAACCCCCAGATCTTGGCACATTATGAAGACTTCCTAGCTGGAGAGACACATGACATCACACTTCGTCAAAATGTGTTAGTAAATACAGCATGCTGGTTGCATTCAGCCAATGTGGATAATAAACTTGGGCTCTTGTGCAAAAGCAGCCAATTGTGATTTATTTTATAAGGCATGATTACACAAACTTTGCTCCGGCATGTGTGTGAAGTGACTGAACGTTTAGAAACAGCTCTGTTTTGTTTTTTAATCACAAGGGGAGCTTTCCCCAACTAGAATTCCTCATCCATACATTTCTGTTGCTATGGACGTGACACATGGCCTCAGACATTATTGATATCTATTTCATTGGTATTTGTCATCCACAATATTCCCTAGCCTACACTATACTTTCATGGTCATTTCGTATGATGCTTTAAATTTGTGAATTCTTCATGGTCCAAAATCTCTGTCTTCTTCTGAACCTTGACATCTTCACTTGAGGCTCTTCCTTGGATACGCAATCCACAGAGTTTAGGTATAAAACAAAATATTTTGGCAATGGCTTCTGGTTTTTATGATGTTTGCGTGGTGCCATTTTCAGGCACAGTGCCAAGCAAAGATTTTAGAGTTTGCCCAAGGTCTTCAGATTCACTTTTTTTTTTAGTGTCTTGATTGTATCATTTACCTGATTTTAAGCTATAGGTTTAGCTCCACAAGGACGCTGTACGAGTCTGTACCGGATTTAATTCGTTTTGGTTTTCTGATTCATTGGCCAGTTAACCCTACATATGATGCCATTGATGAGGTGAGGCCAAAACTAAGAAACATTTCTTTGTCACAGTCAATAACTTAAGACCCAGTCTTCAAATTAGCTTGCTGACTTTTCTTTATTCTAAGTATTAAGCTGTTTACCAGCTTACAGGAAAAAAAACCCTCATGTATCAGAGCCTCTAAAATCTTAGCATCTGAAGAGTGCAAGAAGATCTATCACAGAAGGCAAAATACGACTCGTAAACAGGATCCAATTCTCACAAACGTGAATGGCTGAGCTTTGAAACTGGCTTTAAAACTGCTCGTGCTATCTTTTTAAAATTGTATTTCGGAGTTAAAGCCGTCCAGAATCCTAACCAGTGTATAGTTTAGGTGTGGACACACACACCAGTGCACCTGGTAAAATAAAGGAAAATAGAAATAATGGGGCACTCACACACAGCCCCAAACAAGTCCAGTACATCTGTGTGCTCCAATGGCCACATCTGTATTTCCTTTTCAAATTTTATTTTATTTTACCAGCAGCTTGATCCATCCAAGCAGCGCAATAATGGCCTTACTCCAACAGCTGCTGGAAACACAGGACTTGGAATAAGAGTCGCTACAGACAAGCATTAATCACTAGAGAAAAGGTCCAGCTAACAAGTTATCGTCTTGCCACCTGGAATCGAGGTTCCCCAGGGCTAAACCTTTCACTAAAAGATTCTGCTCTATATGTGACTTTAATAAGTACCATTAAGCAGTTACTCTGAGTGCATATTCTCCAACCCGAGCGCCGGTGTGGTTAACAAAGAAGGCCTAGGGTGAAGGCCGGATGAAATAGAGGCAGTCAATGCAGACAAAGATTAAATGGACTCTGGAAGGCTTTGTATCCTACCCCCGGGAGATCCCCATCTCACCTCGTGAGGAGTAGCACCTGAGGCCTTAACTGGAAGTTGACGAAGCTTTAACTTCAAAAACACACCCACGCAACCAGAACCACAAAATCTCTTTCAGCTTTGATGGTGCTTTCCGAGGGCCAGGAGAATTCCTAACTTCGGGATAGAGACTGATCCAGCAGACCAGCTGCTGGAATGGAAGACCAGCATGAAGGATTTCTTCTATCCATCTAGAGCAGTGGTTCTCAACCTTTCTAATGCCGCGACCCCATAATACAGTTCCCCATGTTGTGGTGACCCCCAACCACTTATACATCACCGGGTGCCAGGGGCGTGGCCAAAGAAAAGGGGAAAAAAATGTTGGACAGCCTTGTTTGGCGACCCCCGTGAAATGGTCGTTTGACCCCAAATGGGGTCCCGACCCACAGGTTGAGAACCACTGATCTAGAGCGTTCTCTGAACTTCTACTGATGACTGTGGTCAAAACACAGAGGTTTTTTTCTTACCACAGAAGGGGACAATCTTGTCGGTCCTGAAATACAGTTGCTCTGACTTCCTTCCCCCTCCCTATGCTACCTTCTATGCCTTTTTGCCACCCTCACCCTCCCCCAAAAGCATTAATTAAATTCAACGATGGAATGGCCTCATTGATTTTACCAAATCCACTCTTAGCTCAGCTTCTGACTTTCTGTGAAGCACACTAACACTTATCTTGAGATGACGGGAACATGGGTTTGTTATTTCCGGATTTGATTTGATTCTTTGTCAGAAATAAAAGATACACCAAGTTCAAGATTCTGTTTGGCTGTCCATGAGTGCCGCAGTAACGCTCCCCAAAAGGGAACAGAACAGAACCAAAGATGGAATACACCAGATTCAGCCCGGAGTTGTGGAGAAAGGGTTCCTCTCAAGACATTCCTACAGGAGAAGACGCTGGCCAACGGCTCAGGAATTTGGCAAAGCTTCCTTTCTAAGTTCCCTATCTCCAAATTGTATGGTGCATCTGCAGCCCACGCCATGTTTCCAGTGTGAATAGACTCGACCATAGGATGACCTTCGGCAAGGGATCAGAAGGAACTCAGGAACCATGTTCTACATGCTTTCTCTATCGTCTTTTTCTCGTTAAGTCCCGGTACAGTTCTATTGATGCAAGAAGTTGCAATTAAGGGAAGACCTTCTGGGACTGATTTTTTTCCCCCTAACTGTTGTTCTGAAGCATTGTGCTGAGGGGAAGGCCACCAATGAACAGTCCTTGGGCTTAAAGAGATGGCCCACTTACCAAGCATGCTCTTAAATTTATTCAGTTCAAATAAAATCTCATTTGCTTTTTTTTTTCATGAAGCAAAGATTTTCCGCTTCTGAGGTCTGTAATGCAGACAAGTTGGTAATCTCACAAATGTTTCTCTTCAGAAGCTAGAGTATACCATGAGATGACAAAATATGGCACACCGATTATGACTAGCCGGAAGTCAAAGTTGAATATGGGGCTAGAAGAGATCCTTATCCCTAGCTCAGATGCTACCATAATCAAGACCCAAATAAAACCCCTGTCTACTCTAAGATACAAGGGTTGGTTTGCTTTCCACAAAATACCCCTGTTGCCTTCTGTTGGTTCAAGATCTGCACCAAAGTTTGTGTGGTGGGTTGAGGGCTACACTCCAAAAATAAATAGGAACGAACCCTGCTTTTGCAGGGTAAATTTTGACATGTTAAGGAGTGCAATAGGAGCCAGCAGCCCCTGCAAGTCTTTAAGACACCCATTTTGTGTCTTGATACCTCCCAAAAATGCAATAAAAAGGCTGAAAAAATTGACCTCATTCTAGTTATGGGAAGGGAACTCTGGACCACAGAAGTAGAATCGGCAGAGGGATACATTTGTACCTCTGTCCAAAGAGATGGTTTAACCATGGCTTGTTGACTAAACCGTGCTGAATGGGATCTACATCCTGGTTTCCACACATAGGCAGTCCTTGACTTACAACAGTTCATTTAGTGACCATTCAAAGTTACAACGGCACGGGAAAAAAAGGGACTGACAAGCGTTTTTCACACTTACGAGCTCTGCAGTAGCCCCATGATCACGTGATCAAAATTCAGATCCCTGACAACTGATTCGTACTTACGACCGTTCCTGTGTGCCAAAGTCACGTGGTCCCCTTTTGCAACCTTTTGACAAGCAAAGTCAATGGGGGAAGCCAGATTCACTTAACAACCGGGTTACTGATGGGAAGAAAGGTCGTAAAAGGGGGCAAAGTTCACTTAACGAATGTCTCACGTAGCAACGTAAATTTGGGGCTCAATTGTCAAGAGCTGCCCGTGTGTGTAACACTGTCACCCAAGATAGTGCAGGACAGGATTGCAAAGGGAAGGCAGAAGAGAAAAACCATCGTCCTGCTCTATGACTGGAAACTCATGAACGCTGTAAATAAACTTTCTCTCTTTTTTTAAAAAACAAAAAACAAAGTTACACACTTTGGGGATTGCTGTCTTAGGACAGTGATGGCAAACCTTTTAGAGACCAAGTGCCCAAAAACTGGCCCCACCCCCCACCTGCCCCCACCCCGCCTGCCCACAGGGCCACTCACTGCCTCCAGGGCCTGCTGCAGATCGCCCAGGCAGCCCAGCAACGCCATGGAGGCCAAGCCCTCTCCCCGCACCCTGCAGCATCAACTGTGAGCGATGGGGCGTGAGGGCAGAGTCTCGTCTACGCTGCCTGGATGCCATGTCCTTGGCTGTGCTGCTCTGCAAGGGGCATGTTTGGGGGCAACTCTCCTCCGGGGGGGCTGATGAGGAGGGGGTCATGGGGGAGGCAAGGCTGGGGCAACGGCACGTGTGCCCACAGAGAAGGCTCCGAGTGCCACCCCTGGCACCAGTGCCATAGGTTCGCCACCACTGTCTTAGGACATACTTTTTACCCAACCAACTTAGAACAGAATCTAAGTTTCCCGTATGATTTGCTCCTTTTAGGCTCACCAGTCTGCACGCAGGCCTCCAATGGATGGCGTGAGCTCCAGCCAAGCCGCATCCCTGCAAGTGACCCCCTTAAGCAAGCGCTGCACCCAACCTCCCTTGGGAACCCAGGTGGAACTAAGAAGCCAGCCGAGCGGTGGTAACAATCTGTTAGAACTTGAGAATGCTTGTCCAGATTCCATTGCTTACCGAGAAACATCCGAGGTGCAGCAGGACAGCAGATGTGCTCCGCATTGTGAGTTATATCCACCTGCCTGCCTTTCCATTGCAAATCACTCCAGTGAAGACAGCCCTCTGTTCTCTGGCCAGGCTCCTTACCTCCTTCAGCACCATGCCAAGAAACGGTCCATGAATTTAGCCTTTGCTGGGACACCTCTTCAGCGGAGTTCATACCACAACTTTCCAGGGTTTCCTTCGCCATGTGCGGGTGAAAAGTGCCAACCCGGCCTTGAAAACATCTCTGGACTCCATCACCCATACTTCTACAGGTGTACTGTTTCAGAGCCTTTCCCCTCTCATGGCAAGCGCTGGAATCCACTAGGGCACAAGCGTGTTTCGTATGCTCACGACGGTGGCCAGAAAGAGCCAGTAAACGGAGCAGTTGCATCTGGGGAACCCTGCCACATTTATACAGAAGCGATCCCTAACAACTATGCTTTTGAGTACTCAGGGTAAAGATAATGTTTTATAAATGCTGTTTTAAGACGTACTCAGGGAGATGATCTGTTGACACCTGCTTGTTTTATTGGCCCACCCATTGAACCAAGGTCAATGTAGCCAAGGAAAAATAAGAGTTCTGAGATGAAGGATGGGTGGGAAGTGGCCATACAGGTCTTTGGGGAGCAGTTCTGGCTGGAAAGGCAGGAAGAGGAAACGGCTGGAGACATCTCAGGTAGCTTCAGGTGGTTGACAATGGGAGTGGTACTCCATGAGTGATGATTACAGGAAGGGATACATTGGGGCAGGGGCCTCCAAGCTTGGCAACTTGAAGACCTGTGGACTTCATCTCCCAGAATTCCCCAGCCAGCATGGCTGGCTGGGGAATTCTGGGAGTTGAAGTCCACAGGTCTTCAAGTTGCCAAGCTTGGAGACCCTTGCCTTGGAATACAAGGCAAAGAAGTCAGAATATGAAGGATATTGAAAAATATATATAGCAGGATCCAAAGATAGACTGGAAACTAGAGAAAGGGTTGGAAGAGAGGACTTGTCCAGTGAGAACATCACCACCGTTGGATTATTTGGGTTGCAGGGTTCCGAAGGGCTGCACATTGACCAGGGGGGGGGGGCTGCCTTGCAAGCTGCTCACAAAAGTTGGTCCCTTTTCATTGCTTCTGTGTCTTTTTCCCTGGCACTCCTCTTGACTTGCCCTTGTTCCTTGAGGTCATCACAGCCACCTGCTCCTCCCCCGGTGAAAAGAACCCTCTCTCCCACGGCACGGCTCATCCAGGCGGTAGAACGGCATCATCGAGAACTCTCTCAGCTGGCAGATGACCACCTCGCTAGGAATCAGCTGGCTAGCATGTTTCCCCCCATAATCCAGAGAGGGGAGAGCGACTCGCAGCTCCACCTGGAGAGCGGCGAAGAGACCCAGCCCGTCCTCAGCCGCAGCAATTCCGAGGGCTACTTGCTTCAGATGGAAAAGCAAAAGGAGAGGAGAGGAAAGAAGGGGCACCGGAAGGTGAGCCAAGAGAGTAACAAACGGAGCAAGCAAGGGAGGAGTGTCGGTCTTTCTCGTGGGGTGTTGGCCTCATCGTAACGACCTTGTAGATCAGGGGTCTTCCAACGTGGCCCTTTCATGACTTGTGGACGTCAACTCCCAGAATTCCGGGAGTTGAGGTCCCCAAGTCATAAAAGGGCCACGTTGGAAGACCCCTGTTGTAGATAGAGCAAGAGTTTCTGATTGTCGGTGGTTTTGCAGAATGAGCAGTTTTATTTATTTATTTACATATATATATATAAATAAATATATAAATTTATTTTATATATATATATATATATATATATATATATATATATATATATATATATATATATATATATATATATATATGTAGGTCTTTGGTTATTCGGGTTTTCTCCCGCGTAAATTGGAAGTGTCTTGGCGACGTTTCGACGAAGTCCCATTCGTCATCTTCAGGCTGGTGTTTTCAGCTTCGTGCTTCGAGGAGCAAGCTGAAAACAGCAGCCTGAAGATGACGAATGGGACTTCGTCGAAACGTCGCCAAGACACTTCCAATTTGACGCGGGAGAAAACCTGAATAACCAAAGACCTACATACAAACACCCACGAAAACCTCAGAAAACATATATATATGTGTGTGTGTGTGTGTGTGTGTGTGTGTGTGTGTGTATATATACACACAACCAAAGACCTACATATATACACATATATATATATATAGATATACACATATGTGTGTGTATATATATATATAGATATAGATATACACACACATATTTCTCTCCCTTCCTAGACTAGGCATGTAGAAAAGACCTTGGGAGACGGGGCAAAGGCCGTGGCTGCCTTGGGCAATGGTCAGAGAAGAGAAGGGATCGCCTTCTGCTGCATAACAGGGTTGAGAAAGAAGCTCAAAAGGGACCCTCTGTAATTTCTCAGGCTGCAAAATAGACGGCGGGTGGTTTGTACTTTCAAGGAGCCCTTGATGCTGTCTCTGAGCTTGGGGGGTTTTCTTGCAGCCATCCACATTACCCAAACGTGGCCACATCATCACTTCTAGCACAGATGAGGCTAACTAGTTTGGGTAATGAAACAGCTGCAGGAAAACTCAGAGAGAACCAAGGAGAGCCTTCATTTCAAACCTGACCTGCAAATGTTCTCCTTTATTTGTACTTTCGGGACTGCTATATTCTTTTGATGTAGCCCAGACCTGTCAAACTCGCGACATCACGTGATGTCACGCAACGTATCTGAGCTTTTTCGCCATGGCCGGCAATGGGGTGGGCGTGGTTTCCTAATGACGCGTCCAGCCCATGGGCCGGCACTTTGACACCCCTGATGTAGCCTTGTAATATGAAAGCCAGCTGGGTGAGTTTGGCCCAGCCTCACACTCTCTCAGCCCAGCCCACGGAGCTGTTGTTGTGGGGAAAATAAGAGGAAGAGGTTATGTTGGATATGTTCATCTCCTTGAGATGATAGTTAGACAGACAGGCAGACAGAATTGCCTCATTAGGTTGTGTGCCCTATCTGGTCTACCAGAGAAGGCTTTGCTCAGGAGGAGATTGGAAGCTCCTCTAGGTTTTGAACAAGCGACATTTCCTCATGAGTGAGATCCTGTGGTTCAGCCCATAATCTCCTTAAATTGTTGTGAATAAGAACAAGCCAAGATCAAAGTGTAGAATTCCAATTAGTGTTTAAAGAAATCACAGTTCCCTGAGTTTGGTGTTCACAAAGAACACTGGTTACTTGAAAAACAAAGCAAATACTTAATAGTAGAAATTTCCTTATTGCAGCTCCAGAGAAGGGAGGGCAGGTGTGTCAGTCTCCAATTATTCACATAGTAGAAAACTACAGTTTCCCATTAGGTCTAAGGTGGCCCTTGATCTTGGTTCGGCAGACACAGAAACATCCTGTTTGTGATGTTCCTCTTCCAATGATTCTCCCTCTGTTTTATGTGCTCTTCCTGTAGTTGATTCTTTCTCGGCCCCCGTTATTTCTTTCCAAACTTCACGTTACTTCTTTGTTCAGGGCTCCAGGGCAAAAGGTTACGTGAAGATGGACGTGAGGCTGGGAGGCCTTGGACCTGACTATGAAACCATCAAAGAAAAAGTAAGAGGAATGGCATTGGTGAATATCTTCTTCTTTAGTTGTGTTCGTCCTGCGGAACTTTACAAGTGAAGGGTTTGGGCTGCGTTGCCAAATTAAAATCAGGAAGAAGGGAATGGTCCAAGTATCTCTCGTACCGGTAGCACTGATGCTGCTGCCTAGTTTGTCATGAAATGTCTGCTAGAAAACCATCAAACTTAGAGGGTATCAAGGACTTCACAATCTCTAATACTATTAGGGAAGAATAGTACAACGTTGGTTCAGCCAATCTATCTGATTTGCAAAAAATTCAGAAATTCAGAAAAAGAGAGGGCGCCTTCAGAGTTCATCCAGCTACTAACTTGGATAGATCTAAGGCAGGGGTAGGCAACCTTGGCTCTTTTATGACTCGTGGACTTCAACTCCCAGAATTCCTGAGCCAGCATGGCTCAGCTTGGAAATCTCTTTCTTTCCCCTCAGCATGGCTGGCTCAGGAATTCTGGGAGTTGACGTCCACGCGTCATAAAAGAGCCAAGGTTGTCTACCCCTGCACTAGGCCCATCTAAGTTCAGAAATTGAGGGAGAAAAGATTAAGAAGTCATAGGAAGATCTTAACAGGATTTGACCACCTTCTTTTCCTTGCTATCTCCCTTGTGTTCTGTCCTTCACGACCAAAATAAATAAATCAATGTCCAGAAAACTTTTGGCTCCTTTCAGAGTAGATCATGCTTCCAAGGTGTAGCTTTTTTGGGGCCTTGTTAGAACAGATCCATTAGTCTGCGTTCTCCTGCAGAGAGTTTCAGTTGCAGACAAATTCATTCTCTTATGGTGTGTTCAAATGCTTTAACGCAATTGAGCTGTTCTGGGGAGTTTAGATGCTCCTGATTAATCACAAAAGGATAAAAAAATGGAAGTCAACCCGACTGAGAAAATCTAGTTGTGAAGAGCTGAATGCGCATTACACCTTGTTAAGAAACATCTGGCATTAATCTGATGCCTGATGTTTCTCTTTTGTCCAAAGAAGAAGATGGAGCTGATCAGCCGAGAAAGAATGGAGAAAAGCCTCCTCGCCAGGCCCTCATTTTTATTTTGATTTTTTTGACTTCGAATGAATGGAAACATGCTAGTTATTGTCCATGTTACTGGTACAACAGGGTCAGTATATGTGGTCCTCAATTTACAATCAATCATTTAGCAACCATTCAAAGTTATGGTGGTGATTTTGTAGCACCCAATTCTGCTGGAAGGCAGTGGAGGAAACAACGTAAAATCTTCAACATACCAATGGGAGAGAATATTTGTAGTTCAGGGTTGATCCAAGGGGTCCTTAATGCTCTCTGGGCTTGGTTGTTTTCTTGCAGACATTTCATGACCCAACTAGGTAATATCATCAGTGCTAGAAGGGAGTGGGGTTTGCTCTTGGTGGTTTGTTTTTTATTTCTGTTGTTTATTGCTTGATTGTTTGTCTGAGCTGCTAGTTCCCCAGTTGGGGTATTGTTTACTGCTTGATTGTTGGTCTTGTATCAATCTTAGTGTTAATCTCTGCTCATCTGGGTGTTGATTGCTGGTGAGGAGGTGTTTTGGTCTTTTTAGATAATCAAAGATCTACCAATTCAGATAAACAAGCTAACAGTAAATAATAGCCTAATCAAGGAATCATCATATTCACATGCTACCTTTTCTTTAAGAAATTCAGGGGAGATTTGCTCATAAAACCATGCCTGTCTGAAAAGCTTTGTCTTGCATAGCAAGAGTCTCTAAAATCTGGGGTTCCCCACTGTTTAGAATCCACCCCTCCATCTGCCACACTTCCTTCTATACTTGAACTGTTCAACTCGTTTGAGATAGGCAGCCATGCAAATTGAACAATTTAAATAAAATACATTAAACACTCGTGTTCAGCCTGCCCTTGAGCTCCACCTGTTTGTCCTTTGACAGTCAGAAAAGATGAAGCACCAAAAAGTGTATGCCAAGCAAGTCAATGAACAAAATCTGAAGAATATCTCAAGTGCACGGAAACCACAGCTGAAAACGGAGGATAAATCAGTGGTGTCAAGGCAGAAGGTAAGAAAACGAGCAAAGCAACGTGGCCAGCAGGAGACTGTCTGGAGCAGTGTTTCTCAATCTTGGCACCTCAAAGATGTGTGGACATCCAGCTCCCAGAATTCCCCCTGCTGGTTGGGGAATCCTGTGAGTTGAAGTCCACCCTTCATCAAATGGCCAAGTCTGAGAACTAGTGGTCTTCAAGGATCAAGGCTGAGCTTTCTCTTGAATGATCAAACTCCTCCTGGTTCTCTAACTTGACATGAATCATCTGGATTTTGATCGCTTTCATCACCAAAGTTGTGTGTGGTCCAAACATAGTTCTTTCCTCATGATAATTTTTTACAATTCGTCTAGTTTTAACCTTCTGGGTTGAAATCGTAAGGGAGTGTGATTTCAAAAATCTTGCTGAATTTTCACTTACAACAGAAGGGGCATATATGTACCTTCAGACATGATTACTGTATATAACAAGCCTATCAGCTCAAAAGGTTGCCAACTGGATACCAATTCACTAAGAACAAGTCCTACCAAATGTATGAGTGGAGCAGCAAGAGGTTGGCATCTCCTACAGTGATCTCAGCGATAGGAGAAGGAAGAGATAAATTTTCCCTTGCTATGAGTACAGAGAACCAAATAATTTTGTTACTCCTTCTTTATATGCATTATGCAACCAGTAAAGCAGGTAGCAATAGCACTTAGACTTCTATACCGCTCCATAGTGCTTTACAGCCCTCCCTAAGCGATTTACAGAATCAGCATATTTTCTCCCCCCCCCCAACAATCTGGGCCCCCATTTTACTGACCTCAGAAGGATGGGAGGCTGAGTCAACCTTGAGCCCCATCAGAATCGAACTCCTGGCAGTGGGCAGAGTTAATCTGCAATACTGCATTCTAACCACTGTGCCACCACGGCTCTATTTACTTGCTGGTTTAATGTCTTCTTGAAATTTTCCCTTCTGGTCCCTTTTTTTCCTACCCTGGTTTTATTCTAAGTCGAAATCTGGAATTTTGGTGAAAAGACGTTATTTTGAGGGTGGTTTTGTTGTTTAAATGGGGTAAGAATTTGTGGAGAGGCTGACGGGAAGGAACCCACTGCTTCTTCCTCGGAAATGGACTTTTTCTAATCTGGGCTTAGAGGTTTTTCAGACCAACTGTTGTGGCCTTGTTTCCTTGCTTCTGCAGGCCCTTGAATACGCCAAGACAATCCCCAAGCCTCGACTTTTTGTGTCAAGATCGTCGGAGCAAGAGACCAAAGAGGAGAAAAACCTGGCACGGACATTAAACGGAGAGAATCTTCCTCCGATCTCCTCTCTGGAATCGCTGCAAAACAGGCATGAGAAGGAGAAGCAGGTGGTTGCTGCGTTCAAAACACTCCATATTGTCTGACGAGGAGGCCATGTCCCCGTCGACCTTCGTGGTCGCAGGACCACCAAGCAATTCCGCTCCTCCGTTCTCTTCTCTCCACGTTCACTTGTGGTCCGGAAGGACGAGCATACGGTGATGAGTTTCATGAACTTCTGCAAGATCTGGGGTGTTTTCCATGAGTTGCATTCAGCCTTATTTTTGTTGGGATTTTATTGTTGATGATTAAAACATTGAGTGGACGATGATCTAGAAGTGATCTTTCCATTTTCCTTGCCTCCATTCCAGGGCTTCCTTTCCAAAAAAAACAAACAAACAAAAAAAACCCCACCTTTGGATGGTTTAAGGGCCAGACTAAATCAGGGACCTAGATGTAGAATCTAGAGCAGCGGTTCTCAACCTGTGGGTCGCGACCCCGTTTGGGGTCGAACGACCATTTCACGGGGGTCGCCAAACAACGCAGTCCGCCATTTTTTTCCCCCTTTTCCTTAGCTGTGCTACTCCCTTTTATTCTATTGGCTTTTGAAAGCCAATAGAATAGACTCTCTTGAATAGAGTCTAATTCTATTGGCTTTCAAAAGCCAATAGGAATTGTCCATGCTGTCTCTGCCCTGCTGAGCCCGCCAAAAGTCCCATTCTGCAAACGGTGCTGCAAGTTGTCTGCAGCGAAGGCGAGCTGTCTGGAAGTTTCCACCCCTCCCTGCTGAGCAACTACTAAAAATGTAAGTAAAAGAGGGCCAGGGGTGGGAGGTGGGAGGCCGGCGGACTCAGGGAGGATTGCTGGTGCTTGTGGGGCCCGGCGGGTGCCTTACCTCCCTTGGGCTGGGCCAGCCAGTGGTTGGCCTGCTCCATCTCTGCCTGCTCCATCTCTGCCTCGGCTGGCGCAGGGGGCGGCACCACACATGTGCGGCGCTCCCAGGCAGGGAAAGTCCTCGACTTATGACCGGTTGGGTAGTCCTCGACTTACGACCGGTTGGGTAGTCCTCGACTTACGACCGGTTGGGTAGTCCTCGACTTACGACCGGTTGGGGTCGCGGCATTAAAAAGGTTGAGAATCACTGATCTAGAGTACTGCAACGCAATGGGTCTGCCCTTGACGACCACCTAGAAACTTCAGCTGATCCAGAATGCAGAAGCCCACACAGTAATGGGGATCCCCTCGGGATGCCCGTGTAACATCTCTGTGCACAAGCTGCACCGGCTTCCAGTTTCTTTTTATGACCTTTCTTGCGACCGTTGTTAAGTGAATCACTGCAAGTTGTTAAGTTAGTAACAAGTGTGTTAAGTGAACCTGGCTTCCCCATTGACTTTGCTTGTCAGAAGGTCGCAAAAGGGGATCACATGATCCCTGGACACTGTGACCGTCATAAACGTGAACCAGTTGCCGAGCAGCTGAAGTTTGATCCCGTGACCCTGGGGCTGCTGCAACGGTCATAAGTGCAAAAAACGGTCATAAGTCCCTTTTTTCAGTGCCGTTGCAACTTTCAATGGTCACTAAATGCTCTGTTGCAAGTATTACGTTAAGAGACGTTTAGTGCATTGCCCTTCCCAGTTTACAACCAGGTGAACGTTAATAAAATTCTTTGCCACGTACTTGGTTTGGCCACGAGTTTAGGCGATTTTCAGTGAGATTGCACAATAATTTAATTTAATAATTTCTTTTTCTTTTTGAGAAGAGACTGGACAGCCATTTGTCTGAAATAGCATAGGGATTCCTGCCTGAGCAGGGGGTTGGACTAGATGACCTTCAAGGTCCCTTCCAACTTTTATTATTATTGTTGTTGTTATTATTATTATTATTATTATTATTATTATAACTGTTGTCCAACTCCTGGTTCTTCTCTGCCTGTTTCTCTGTGATGCTCACTTTAGTCTCCCAAAACGCAGCTTGTAAAATCTGTACGTCTGGATAGCTGTGATTCAGAGCTGATCCTCTCGGATAATAAGCAACGAAGCAACCGAAACGGCATGACTTTGAAGTATTTCTGATGAGCTCCCTCACCTTGCTGTTTTCCTGACTAAAAATGATAATTCCTTTTAATACAAAGCTCGAGAACCTAATTTTTAATGCAATCTTTAGAGGGATATCAAAGAACTGTTTATTCATTGCCTAATATTTTAATTAGGTGATACTCTCAATTTAACCCATTACACACACACACACACACATACACACAGATACCTCTTTGATGAGTAGCCTCGTCCATGTTTAGCCCCAGATGCTGGAAATAATGAATGCTGGACCTTTTTGATTTAATGAGTATTTCTACCTTTCCAATCTGACTCTTTGTACCTATTATTATTATTATTATTATTTCCCCGAGCCATAGAATTGAGTTAATTGAAGGACTCTCTTACCACCATATATTAAGGGGTCTAAATTAGCATTTCCTTTTCTGATTTTTTTTATTTTTTTATTTTTAAAAATGCAAGCGGCTTTTTTTGCTTTGATCAGAGGATTTAGTTGAAGGAGCCTCAGTCTCCTGAAAATGAGCTGATGGGCTTATTATTAGGATAAATGCAAATATAGGCATGTGTTGGACAATGCTTAATGTCTTAATTGCTCACCTCCAGTATCTGATATGCTTTCTGTATCAACCTGGAGGGCAGGACCATCTTTAAAAAGTTACGGATAAAGCTTTTTGCTTGAGGAGGAATTTCTCTTATAAACTTTTGGATCCAGACTGCTAAACTTTGGGGGTAAAATATAGGACGCCCCAAAAAAATTGTATCAGAATTTTTAAAATCCTATACATTTTATGATTTTCCTACCAGGATAGGTTGAGAAAAAAAGGATAGTCTGAAAATATTGGAATATAAATCAGAGGTGCGGAATTTTGATTCGATGAGGATTCCCCCTGACTAGGGAGTAATGGACCAAGAGATGAATTCCAGAATGGAGCAGAGCCAGAAAAAAAGTCCCATTAGAAATATTAATGAAATGGATAACAGCGGATTGGTTGATCTTAGATATGACACTCCTAGTTGCATAATTAATTAAGCCTAATCTGTATTTTTCTCTCCAGACAAATCGGATGGAACCGAATCCTCTTTTGAATGTTTCTTCATACCAGACCTTAGTACTGATGTTATCATCCTTTGTAGAATTTAGGAGAACACAGAGAGGACTTTATGACATTTTATGTCCACCATGGAGGCCTCTAGAGTTTGCCTTTTTCTAAAATTGATAGGAGACTGTAGAAACATGTAGGCCGTGGAAGACACCAGGTTGAAAAAGTTTGGTAGAAGAATAAAAAAGTATGAAGGAAAAGATGAGGTCTATCAAGAATGAGTTCAGGTGAATACGAGGTGGGTATAAAAATACCGTAGCAGCTAATTCTTCCTCTGAAAGCTTCTATATCAATGGGTTCTTAGTAACTTTAAGAACTGTGGACTTCAACTCCCAGAATTCTGCTGGCCATGGCATTTGGGGAGTTGAAGTCCACATATCTTAAAGTTGGTGACATTCAGAAACATGGTCCTGTAGTAAGAAAAAGGTTTCTCAGTTACAATATAAACAGTGGTAAGGGATGTTAAGTATTTCACAACTCATTACAGACAATATCTGTTTATCTCTGTTGAACCAATATTTTTGAGGCCAGCATGAAACACTAAGCCAAAGGCTGACCAGAAACACTGGATGTAGTTTTTGTGCATGCATACCTCGGTCAAATTGATTCCTGGATAAGTCCATGCAGTTTACTTAGAAAGTTTTGGGGTGTTTTTTGCCTCCTCCCTAGAGCTAAGAGAAAGAAATCAGCCAAAGGTCACACAGCTGATTTCATGCCCATGGAGAGACTAGAATTCACAGTCTCCTAGTTTCTAGCCTGATGCCTTAATCACTACATTAATCTCAGGAATTGATGCCTTAAAGCACCATACATTCCTTATCCAAAGTCCAAAGCACTTCTTCCAATAAATTTCTGAAGCATGCATGAACCTTGGGGTACAAGAATAGGGACCTCAACTGAAGGCATAATACAGTTTAATTCGGTGTTTTTTCCCTCTCTAGAAATAGCTGCAAGTTACTAATCATACTAATTAGTTGACAAGCTCACCAATCTGCTTACATTTGCAGATTAGTTAAACTAGGACTACCACATCTGGGCTGCAGAAATCCAGATAACCAGTAGAGGGCAACAGATATACAGAAAACTCTAATCTTTTCCGCCATCTAGTGGTACCTGAATATTTTGTATCTCCATTCTGGTGAAAGTTCCTCAGCAGTGAGATATTTCCTTCTTTCCTTCTTTCCTTCCTTCCTTCTTTCCTTCCTTCCTCCCTCCCTTCCATACATTTCTTCGTAAATTTACTTTAAAACATTTAAAGAATAACTTCATTTTCTTGATGTACTTCATGTCCAATCTCGTTACAGGCACCCTCATTGAAAATCCATTTGTGTATGCTTTTATTGTTTAGAGATCTGCTGCCCAAAAAAACTGTTCACATGTTTAGCCATGTAAATATCTTTGATGAATTAAGCTCTCTGATTAACAGGATAAACTCCACTGCCCTTTACGAAAGAGCCAGAAAAATTCTGCCTTGAAGAAAAAAGCCTCGGGAAAATTTACATTTGCTGAATCTTCCAGGTTGGAAATATGAAAACTCAAAAGTCAGCCGGTTTCAAATCAAAACTCAGACTGCAATCTAGGATTGCTTAATTTAAGCAAACTCGGATGGAACTTGCTTCAGACTATGCAATGCATCATACGTGATTCTGATTACAGCAATGAAGACATTTCCAAGGAGACAAATCAGCCAACTTCTGGCTTTTTTTTCGCCGTTTCTAATTTGTTTTATTTCGTCAGGAGGCCTTAAAACCGCCAAATTGTGTGTATGTGCATGTGGGGACAACCAAGGAGATCATGGTCATTTATCTTTGCTACAGATGGCAAATTTCAGTCTTTGGATGGGGATGGAGCCACTGAAACCCCGAAGAGTGAGAATAAAAACTGAGAATTTCCAGTGACTGTTTTTGAAAATGTTTCTAGAAGAGGGAACAGAAATAGGAAAGGTCATTCCCTGCTTAGGATTCTGCCTCCACTGCAGCTGTACAGTTTTTCCACACATCCTAGATTTAAGAGAAAAATATGGTCCACCAAAGTCTTACTGAGAAGGAAAACAGCGTAATTAATGCTCGAAAAGGCCTTCCTTGGAAATATCCAACACCAGGCTTCTTCCTGGATCTCTCCATCTTTCAGAATTTGTACTGTGTGGAAGAAAATGCACAGGAACATAAGAGTAGGAG